ATAATTTACACGGAAATTTTTTCTGCTACTCTCTTCCGACTTCAATGATATTTTGTCTATACATACAATGCATAGTGTGCTAATAAAACCTTTGAAAGGATTTAGATTGCTATTGAGATTTTACTAAGCTATCGAACTTTTAATATGTTTGTTTTCCAGAAGTTCCTGTACAATCCGAAATTTTTTGGAAAACTTGTATGTTTCGACAACGAAAATTTACACAAAACTCGTTGGCATGCGACGCGATAGTATCAAGATCGAAACGATACAATATTGTTTCGAATCTTCCAAAGAACGCTCCGTTCATCGACAAATAGCATCTAAAACAAAGAAATTTCTGAAGACTTGTTTTCTTCAAGTTTCAAGATTATTAAAATGAAGAGAACATAAAATGTAGCCGCTATATTCTTTGTTCATGTGCCAGATTGTTGCCAATATAGCTGACTATAGATAGTGAATCATATAGATAATTTAAACGATCAATCAATAATATTCTTTAGAAACGTATTGTTACGCGTTGATAGAGTTCTTGTAATGATGAAGTTTAATACACCTGCTTTTCACATTGGTCCTGACTTTGATCAGTAGATTGATAGACACGTATGATTTCGAAGTGAAGACTCAGTTTTTTTTTTTGAGATAATGAAAACCCGTTTTAGCAGTGATATAGTGATCAGAATGAATGTTGCTGTCATCTTTCGAACCTTTCGTTATATTGATGTTTATTAACGAAACTCATATCATTATGACTAATTACATACGAGTGTAATTGATTTGGTTTGCTTTCTACTTAATAAAAGTTTTTAAGCTTTGTCGAAGGATCGTCCATAATGCTAGCTAAGTATATATCTGTTTTCCATTGATTAGACGAAAACCGCGTCATAGTTCTTTGCTTTCAAAGAGAGACTACGTTCTAATTGAAGATATTGCTTGTGACGTTGGTTCTCACATTCACATCCATTATTATGCATACATTAGATATTTGTATTGATAGGGCTTGTAAAGTAGTATATTATATAGAAAGAATTGAACATTCGATCGAAGATCAAGCAAATCACAACGACTAGCTCTACTTATTTGACAAATAATATTCAAATAAATCATATTAATCATTTGTACAATTTATTCATTATGACTATGAACAAAATCGTTCTAAAAGCGTGTATATGTAAACTTGGTCGTAACTTAGCAGAAATTCTCTATTTATATTGTATACCAATATGGAGCCATCTATAAAATATGTTCAGGAAAAGGAGCAGGTAGCAGACACATCTGAATGTTTGAATAGTCATTACAATCCTTTAGTCATCGTTTAAGAATTTTTCATAAAATTTTCAAGTTAAATTAGAAGGAAGAAAGCAGAATAACCCTAGGTTTCAGCTACGTTATAGTATCGGGTGCTACCTATAGAGGCAGATTCAATATCCTGATATCTTCTCTACAACTATGACTTATTATAGCTCTGAATAGAAGGCTAATATGATGCAGAGTTCTTGCGCTTAACACCGTTAGTGACTTCTTCAAGATCATTTCATGATTTGCAATAGTAATGAAGTTTGCACGAGGTACTATGTCGAATAACGTAGCCACTCAACCATGACAACTCAAGTTAAATTGATTTCGATCAGCATAGATATTTCTACAAAAGTTTTTCAAGCTGAACATCGAAGTGGAGGGCATCAGTCAAAACTGGATATTTTCAGAAGGGAGGAGAAGACACAAAAAAGACGATATTTATCTGAATGTCTTTTATAAATGTTTAATTAGCCATGACATGGCCTAAACATATCAATACCTTACACGTAAAATGAACACATCATTTTATTTTATTTAAAAACTAGCAAAATTAGAAATTAGAAAAGTAAACAATGTTTAATTCATAATTCACCAAAGAGTACAAGTAGTCTTGTCTATATTAAAACGAAGTCCTTTTGGACATGATTTTCTTTCCAATTGATAGACTATTAATTTACAAAAAAAAAAGAACATATCATAGATAATCTTTAAAGAATGCTTTTCTTTAACTTACATTCATTTATTTGTGTACATTCAAAATATTTGCCTTGATCATTCATAAAACTATCGATAAATATTCCATTGGAAATACATTTAAAATATTCTATTAGAAAACAAAATAATAACATAAACAAAATTATAATTAAATACATACGATTTTCGCATTTGGTTCCATTATATCCTGGTAGACAATTACAATATGCATGACGTGTTGATCCAATAGAAGTTTCTTGACAAGGAGCATCATTCATACATAAATCAACTGCACAAAAACCCGATGTTCCTAATGTATTATTTTGTTTTTATCAAAATAGAAATATTTGCTAAAAATTTAAGTTGCTTACCATTTAATTGACAATAATCACCAGAAGTACCATGTCGACAAAGACAAACAGATTCATATGGTCCATTTGGATTTCGAATGGCACAAATTCCTCTATTTTGACAAATAATTCTTTCACATAAATGAGATTCTTAATAAATGAAAATAAAGAAGAGAAAAACTAAATATTGAAAAGAAAAAAATAATATACCAAAATTTTGTTCACAAAATATTCCACCAAAGCCACTAGGACAATGACAATCATTATCAACAAAATAACCTCCATTAAAACATGTTGGAGATGTAACAGGTGGAACAGTAATAGTAGCAGTACTAGATGCTATTATTGCAGTACTTGTTAATGTCACTGATAACTCTATTACAACAAACAAAAGCAACATAAATTACCTTTTGACATTATTGCTTTTCCTTATTATTCACCGCAATTAGCCGATGTTGTCACCACAGGTCCTGATGGACCCACGCATAAACATGCAAATGTTGCACCATAATCATCTGTTTCAAGACAAGCAAGAAAAGTTGAAGAAACAATACATGGATTATTTGCAGGGTTTGTTCGATTGCAAACACCTAATAATTCCAAAAATAAGAATTTTTTTTTAAACAAACTTTTTTTTCTCTTACGACATGGTCGATCAATTTCCAATTGACCATTTGGACATGTACAAAATACTGCTGTATCGACCTGTAAACATTGATATCCTCTATTTTGTGTAAAATAACCACCTAGTTCACAAGGATTATCATTACAATCTAAAATTATGTGTATGAATAGAAATTTTTCTTATTTTATATGTAAACTTACTCAATGCTTGGGAAGAAAAGTATAATAATCCTGTAAAAATAAAAATGATAATCGTTGCTTTCATTCTTATTTAATGTTAACATGTATGGATCGAAATGTTTTTATATATCAATGTCTGATATTGACAGATGGATGAAATCTTAATTTAAGATTAATATTTGTGACGTAAGGTTAACATTAAAAAAAATACTCGAATGATATTTTACATTAATATATCAAATGATTTTTATTTTGATCATAAATATTTGACGCATATAAGATATCTTCAATGTCCTTCTTTTAAAGTTAATTTTGAATATAGAAAATCTTATGAACAAATAAAGATGTTTTTTTATTATGATAGAAGTTTTTTTCTTCAATTCAATCATAAACGATAACTCGAATTAAATTTTTAACATAATTAAATTTCTATGCAATGTCATAGTGAATCTAATGTTGTTAGCATTATCAAAGGCATATATAAATTGATCAATTGACATATTTTGATCCATCCAAGACAATTGTATCTTGTCATGCATCAATTTCATAATTTTATCAAAAGATTTATTTAAAAAAAACAAAAAGACTAAGCGTATCTTGAAAAACTATTTGATCATAAATTCTATTCATTCATTCGTCATATATACTGATAAAACAACAACAAAAAAATTAATATTTTTCTCATCAGATTATTGTGTAAGTAGACTATCATTATTCTCATATATTCTTCCTCTTATTGTTATGGTTACATTCAACCTTTCATTTGATAGAACATAAGAAAGAAAAGAATATTTACTTCGTTCTCATTACATCACATGACACCTCCGACTCATGAAACATTAGTAAACCTTTATACATTGATACCATAACAAATACGTGATCAACATTTAGATGAAGTACTTAATATAATATCAACATCATTAGAAAAAAATTTATTCATAATAAATATTCATCATCAAAATATTTTTCATAATATTTAAATGTAAACGAAAAAAAACAAAATCATCCCACCCATTTAACTTCAAAATAAATAATGGACAAGTACCATTCGAAATCCATTGTGAAAAATAAATAAAAACCTAAAACTAATTAATTCTCAAAGACTAATAAGATTAAAAAAAAACATGTCCAATAGAATATCTTTCTTTTCAATTAACTTTGTCGTATTTTTTTCTTTTTGCCGGATGCTATATACATCAATAGAGTTATTCTATGACCATATGATTCTTATTGAAAGTCTCCAGATTTTGTACAATAACAAATTGAATTGATCTATTAAGACAAAATTAGGGAGACAGTCTTGTAAAGACATATTTGGCTATGCTGTCTTTCATAATGTAAAAGTCTATTCCAATAAGACTCATATCATGTCTTTTTCTTTCTTTTTGTTTTCTTTGCATGACATATTCTAGATTACCAGCTGTATTTATCTAAGACATTAGTTTATTCCAATATAACAATATGTGAATGATGTATTTCAATTAAATATGAGAAAAACTAATAATAATAAAAAATGAAATTAAAATGTTTATTTAGTAAATTTATCATGAAGCAAGATGTTCAACAATTATCAACTATTTAACAAAATAATTATTCAATAAAATCAATGCAATACATCAAAATATGATATTAGAGAGCTCATGAGAACATTTCATTTATAAATATTCATATGTCATTTTTATAAAGCATCAGTCAGCACGCATTTTTCATCACACGTTGCGTGCATAACACATCATATGAAAGCAATGATTTAATGCTGACATATTTATATATTATTTGTTTTTCTGAGTAAATATCATTTTTGTGCTATGTTATGCTATCTATAATGAATGTAAAAAATTGATTTTATTAATTATGATGAGTTTATATAAGCAAGATGAATTGCAAGAATTTTTTCTTACTTTACGTATGTTTAAAATCTTATTTTTTTGATTAAATTAGTTTTATTTATTTATTTTCTTTTTTTTTTGTTTGTTAAGAACATATCTTTGAAGAAACTTCACTCAGTGTTTTATCAACAGTTGATTTATTGCACGAAAGACTTGCATTTATAACGGGTGGTATAAGTCATAAGTGTCCAATTCTTACATTTTCGGATAATTCTCAAATTGAATTAACACAAGAAAAATATAAAAAACTTATTTCTTATTTAACACAAGTACCAAGGTAAGTGAATAAAATTTAAATATACAGAGTATTCTATAGCTTACTATATAGTGAAAATGAACGTCAATGTGGTTTTGTTCTTATTATTGATCGACGATCAAATACATGGAACGCTGTTAAATCTATTATTAGCTATATAGAGGTAAATTAATATTTGATTGATATACAATATGAAAATCATTCTTATTTCTCAACAATAAAAGAACGTATTGAGATGAGATTTATTTTTCGAAGATCGTAAGAATTAATGATCTATTATCACTACACATTCTCAAAAAAAATATTATTATGAATACAAAAGCAAAACTGATTTTCAAAATATTCAAATCTTTTTGAAGAATACCTAAAGAAACTTTCATATTCTCCTTATCTATCGATGTTTTAATATTTTATGAATAAAACAAAAAAGAAAAAAACACAACCATTCGTATCATTAACTGAGTTTAACATTTGTCATACATATTAGGTAATCATGTCAAAATGTGATTAAAGTATAACAGAATCCATAGAAATAATTGTTCATATAGTTCAATAAATTACATGATAAAAAAATATTTTATTTAAGTATTGTGAAATACTCGAATATTGAATCTAGAAACAAAAAAATAATAATAACTATTTATTAATCATATGAAATGATATTCGTTTTTCTTATGAAGGATTATTTTCCATATTCAATTCAATGTATATATCTTCTTCGACCAAATTCATGGATACAACGAGCTTTATCTTATTTAACAATTTTAAATGATATAACTTGTTCATATCGTGTATGTTTAATAAGATATTTATTTATTTTCATTTTATTTTTAATTTAGTTGATTATGTGTCGAACATTATCTGAACTTCATGAATATTTAAATGTAACTCAATTATCAAAAGATTTAGGTGGTTTAATTAATTTTCGTTTATTTGAATGGATTGAACAAAGAATGGTAATTAAATGTTCATTAAAATAAATAAATACTCTTTCTATTGTTCTTTTCACTTTAGACAATTGAAAAATTAACTCAATCAATACATGAATTAAATGATATATTACTTGTATTTATAAAAGAATGTTATGAAATTGAATTTCCTAATACTGTTGAATTAATACAAAAAATACTTCATCAACATTCAATACAAAAAATTGAATTCGATCAAGAATTACAACGTATTAAAACGTAATGCATATATTTAGTTTTTCTTTTTTTATTATTTTGAATATATTCATCATATAAACTTATTGCTATATAGACATTTGAAGTATTTATCATAAACTCAATGTATGTATATATCTATATATATGCCAACAATGAGAAAGAGAGATCAAAAGAAAAAGAAAAAGTGCACGTATGATATATTGCTCAGCAAAGTTCTCTTTATATCCCCCCCCCCTTCCCCCGTTTTTTTTCCTTCTCTATCCACGTACAAAATGACTGTATCTCGATGCTGATCATCATCATTTCTCTATACAACAATTGTATTGACTCTCTACATACTTTTGTTTCATTCTGTCCTTCTGCATACATTCTAGGTGGGGTCATTCACTATTATGCATTATTCACCAAGAGCATAAACAGTCTTTAACATCTCATAATAACACTATTGACAAGAATAATGATATACAACATCTTGTTCTATCACCGGATCAATCAGCACATGTACGTGCTTGTATAACGTAAGTATATGTCAATAGGTTTTTTTTTTTTTTCTTTTTAGGATACAACAATTTTATTTCTAGTGCTTTACTACATATTGATCGTATCGAATCTATTCTTTCACAATTTTGGTCTATACATACAACACGTTTAAATTATTGTCTTGTATTACGTCATTTTGAACAACGTTTTAAAGAGATACAAACTGTTTTTATACAATTATACAATGAAATCATTGAATTGCCTAACCTAAATACAAATTTACTTCTAGTTGACCATTGTCAATCTGATAATAAAAATAATAATCATAAAGAAGAAATTGATCAAATACTAATTCAACTTGATGCCCTTTCACAACGAACACAAGTAATAATATCAATTGATGTTATTTTAGCATATATATAAGTCATGCATACCAATATCTAGACGATGATCAGTCATGCTACTCAATTGGCGAATGATGGCCTTGCTCTAATAATGGAACAAAAGAAACAACAAACAATATCCTATGGTAATGATTCTATTGAACCGAAACGTCAAGAATTAGAAGAAATGAAAAAAAAATTAATTGAACAAATTGATGAAAAACGACATAATTTAAAATTATTAAAAATATATATTGATAAACTTGGATCTGTAAGAAAACTTGTTTTGTTTTTTTTTATTTTAAATATTGTATAATATTTATTTTAGATAAATGATTGGTGTATACGTGGTAAAGATATGTTAGCAATGCAATCGATTCATTTATCGAATGATAAAGCAAGTCAATCTCTAAATGAACTTGAATATTTTCTTACTGATTTATCAATAATGAATATTGAAGAATTACAACATACATCAACACCGGAACCACTTCGTGTAAGATAAAATTATATTTTTTTAATAAGAAATGAATGCATTTTTCTAAGGTCCCTCATCAAAAATCGATCTTAGTTCAGATATATTTAAATCACATAAAATCGTCAGGCTTTGTTGGGACTATAGTCAATAGGTTATGTTAGAATTTTCAGTTCTATATTATGACGTTTTCGGTAGGTGTTCAAGGAGTAATAGTCGAAATTGGTAGCTTAAAATTCTCCGTGGAGCTTCAGTCTATATATTTTGTTTTATTCTTATATTTTATGCAGAGAAATAGAATGAGAAGTTCGGTACTCCGAAAAAATGGTTATTTTTTTAGAGAAGTACTTCTTAATATAGTAATAAAAAAAAAAGCTTCACTTCAAAAACTAGCAATGCAACTTAACATGCTATTTCGAAAACTTTAGAATGTGTGATCAGAAAAGCATAAGCAGAAAAAAAAGAAAATCCGACCTCGAGCTATTCTCTTATGTCTTAATCTTAATTTCGACGAAAATCAAGGTTTTTTTGTAGGCTTAATACAGAATCTTAATATATCTAAAGAGCAATATAAAATTTCTTCATTTTCACTGTTACAATAATCTTGATTACAATGCATTCATGTTAGAATGACTGTTCAAATAAAAAAAAAAAAATGAACGTATGATTTTAATAGTCATCTTTTTGTATTGGCTGTCACAGATTTTTTTTTTGTGATTATTTCTTATCACAAACTTATTCAGTGTCAAGCACAGATTCAATCAAATTTCGAATGGTATTCGAGGCATAAGGCTTAAACAATAAGAATGAGAATGAAGTCAAACGAATTTTCATTTTATTTTTCAGCTAATAGTAGTAATAGAAAAATCTAGAAGATTTCGTTTTACTGGATTTTTCAATACAAAGCTGTAATTCATTTCAAGTGACATGAAAAATTGATTTTCAAGTTTCAACTTCAAGCTTTGCGCGAACAAAATTCTTAATGAAATTTATTGATTGTGCAAGTGTTAGCTTTTCTAATGGAAATGTATATATATGAAAAAAAAATTTACTTTTACACATGAGAGAATTTCGAAGATTGAATATCTCAGAATAGAAGATATTAGAAAAGTTACAACTTGCCCAATGAACTAATCTTATAGAGAACTTTATTCATGCAAAGCTTGAAATCGAAAGTTGATTTATCACGTGATCTGACGAGGAAATGTTTTTTAAACAGATTAATTATTTTTGAGTTCGGATTCAGATGCGTAAGATAGATCCGATGGAAGTGTGAAAAAATATTTCCTATCGAAAATTTTAAAGTCCTAAAAATCACTCACATTCCATGAAGAATGATAGAATTTTCTGTTTTGGAAGATCTTAATATCTCAGGAAGGAAATACTATTTTGAGCTGAAAGTTTCAAACCATTCTACTAATAAATAAATCTGTTCGTAGGTAAAATATCGTCATTCAATTTATTGGTTTGTCGATGGCATAGACTAAAATTTCAATAAAATGTCTATAACTCTCGACAGAAAGCCTATGGGAATCTGGAGTCTACCTAAGTCGTAGACATTAAAAGCGTTCTCTTGTGAAGAAATCACTGCTTTTTTTGTTAGAAAAAATGCAGTAAAATTTAAATATCTCAAGAACGAAGGTCCGAAAAACCAAACCATTCTAGACTTTTCTATTATCTATCAAATGAATATTGTCTCAATCGTAAAGCAATTTGATTTTATAATTTCATGGTTATCTAAAACATAAAAGCAAGAACTTTCAATAAGATATTTTGAAACTATCTTTATCTTTTTTTTTGTCTAATAGACAATGATAATTCAAGTATTTAATCGTGTAAATGATATTCGAGATTTATGTGAAAAACGATGTGAACAACTTCGTCATCTAGTTAGATCTACTTATCGACCAATACAATGTGTTCATCCATTACCAAATCAACAAAATGAATCATTTAATTTAATTGATACAACAATAACACCAATATCACAACAACAACAAATAAATGAACATATTTCAAAATTTGATATGGATTTTAATCGTTTATTATTATCATCAAATAATGATTCCATAATAAATCATAATACAAAAATGGATAAAAAGCAAAGGTTTGAAAGTTCATTTTTTTTTTTTATTATAATAATTGAAGTTTTCTTTTTTTTTTTGTTGTTTTTAATTAGACATGTTGTAACTGAACTTTTAGTTACCGAACAAGTTTATGTTGAAGAATTACGTACTGTAATCGAGGTAAGAATTTATTTATTCAAAATTATTTATCGAAAAAAAAAAAACTTATTTCTTTAATTAGGGTTATATGATTAAATTTGATGATTTTGAACAAAATCGTTCTTTACCTCTAGTAATCTTACAAAATAAAAGCATACTATTTTCGAATTTACCTGATATTTATGCATTTCATGCTACGTAAATATATTTTCATATATTTTGTAATCATTGATTTATTTTGTCATGTAGATCATTTCTTCGTGATCTTCAACAAATTTATAATGATTCATTATTAAATAATACACGTTCGATTGGTAGTGCTATTGCATCATGTTTTATTAAACGAGTTAGTTATTTTGTTTTTTTTTATATTAAAAATTTTTCTTAAGTTATAATTGTAAAGACGCACGGAAAAGAGTTAGAAAAATAGTGTAGATTATTTATGACAACAATCAATTAAACTTCTAATTATTAATTAGCCTTTAGACATACATTGAATACGAACTCTGACTCAATGTTCGACAACTATCCAACCAGTTCAGATCGAGTCGAGTATTTGGGTAATTGTACAATCATTTTTTTAGGTATATGAGCAATTATGAAAGCACCCTAAGGTTCAGTTAAATTCTGAAAATGTCTGATCATTATTGATCTTTGTCTTTTTTTTTAATCTTACTTCTACTTCCTTTTATAAATTAGCTGAAAATGACCACAATCAAAATTGATCGAATGTAGTAAACAAAGATACATTAGTATTAGAAGAAAAATCGAGTCAGCAAGAAGAAACAATCATTTAATAGTTGATGATACTGATATAAGATCTTATTACGAAAGATCTTTGATTGGCGAAGGGCATTATTCAATCGCTTTTTGACTTGAGACTATGCATTATATAGATTCAAATGAACTATGAATATGTTGAAAAGAATTCATGCTTTTAGTTTATTACTACAGAGATATTACACTATTTTTTAAATGAATGCCTTGATAATAGAAAAAATGATTTTCGAATTGGAACTTTACATAGAGACAAACAGATCTTAATAAGAGTAGTTTAAGATCTTTTGATTTGCTTCTATCCTAAAATAAGAACATCAAATCTATTGGTTTATATGAATGAGAACAAAAGACACGCTATTATCATAGTTGTATCTTAGAAGAGGAAAAGCGATAAGAGCTAAATCATTTATAAAAAAAAAAAAAACTATTCCCACTAAGGCCTCTCTCTCTCTCTATATATGCAAAGTTTCAAGTAGAAATTCAAAAATCAAGTTTTCTGTTATCATGACATTCATTAAAAAAGAAATATGATAAAAGTACAATATCTCCGTAACAATAAACTGAGAGGATGAACTCTTTTCAGGGTATTCATAGCTCATTTGCATCTACATAATATATATAGTCTCGGCTAAAAAACGATCGAACAGTTGGAGGACTTCCGTCGTTAACAATCATCTTTTTTTTTTGAATTATAAATGATTCTATTCATTTCATGACACTCACGGCGAAAGCAACAGTCTTAATTAGTAGTTCATTTTTGAAATCATCATGTTCTAGTTGTCAATCTTTGTCAACCAAAAAAAAAAAAAAAAAGAACTTTCCGATCCCTTGATCTCTCTACAAGATTCAGCTTATAGGTACTTTAAACTTGAGTTCAAAATAATAAAAAATACAAGTAATGAAAACAGCCATTGGACATTGTTATTTTGTATCTTTATTATATATGGAGAAAAAAACACTAACTAATAAAATTAGAGCCCTTCAAGTCAAATAGTTTGGGACTCGAACTATACTTCGAATTTCAATGAAATTGTTTAGTCTAAATCTGCTAGTCCTTCGGAATTCTTCTATTAACATGCTGTACACATTTCTTGGACAATCTTGATAATGATTTTATAATAAAAAAGTCATAATTAGCTGTGTTACTTTAAGAATATGACCCATTGAGTCGAACTCTAAATAGTACAGTCAGTGGCTTGAGCTAATCGGTCTTTCTCTATATAATAGTTGCATCAAATTTGTAGGAAACAATGTTTAATTTGAACTATAATTTGTATAGTTTAACTTCGAAAGTTTTTCTTGCTGTTCCTTGTGTATACGTCTTTCTGTGTATGTTTTTCTGTAAACTTATTGTAATCAGAATTAATAATGCTTGTAAATTATATGTTACATTAAGAAGTCTATGAGTTTTCTGAAAAGATACTATCTTACAAGGAACCGTTTTCTCACTTAAAGCTATTGGATGATGGATTATTGTTCATGCTGAGTATGAATTAGAACATAAGAAATCCCTTTAGATCTTTATGTGCTGATTTTCTTGACTAAAAATATTTTTGCTAAAATCGTTTGGATTTACTCAGATTATGGAATTGTCTGATTTTCAAGAAATAAGTTTTCAATAAAATAATATCATTTTGAAGATTTTCAAACTGAAAAATTAATATCTATCTATTGGTATGAATTAACAGGCCTGTATTTTCTGCTAAAACAACGTTTTTTTTTTACGCTATTCGATTCGTTAGTCGGCAAAAACGTGTTTATGAAGACCTAGGAGGAATTCTTTACTATCATCATGCTTGATAACATACAATCCACTGGCTTTTAATGAGCAAGCCTTTGATCTATTTCCCCGTTAGAATCGTTTCATTAGTATTTAATGAGATTAGATCATGACAGGAGAATAATCCAAAGGAGTAGTTGCACTAGTGAAACCATCAACATTTTCAACTTTTACCTTATAATGATTTATAGGCTGTAAAAGAAAAGTTTTTGAAAATTAAAATTTCTCTAGAATAATTTCTTTGTTTTTGTTGTTGCTTTAGAAATCAAATTTTAAATTATATGAACAATATGTTCTTAATAAATCTCAATCGGAACATATATGGGAACAATATTGTTGTGGACATTCATTTTTTACAGTAAATTTATATTGAAATTTGTTGTTGGTTTTTTTTTTATATTAATTGATTAAAATAACATTTAGAAAATTCAACAATCACTTGGACATCGTCTTCCATTAGATTCTTATTTATTAAAACCCATTCAACGAATAACACAATATCAACTTTTACTTAAAGTAAGAAAAAAAAATCCAATTGTCTATTGCTCTAGATTTTAATCTGAATAATTTTTTTTTTTTTATTAGGAAATGATTAAATATACCCGTCAGGAACAAGAACGCATACATTTACAAGAAGCTCTTTATGTTATGTTAAATATTTTATCACATCTTAATGATGTTATGCATTCAACACAAATTGTTGGTTATCCTGTAAATATCAGAAATATATTTTATTAGAAAAAAATAAAAGACAAAAAACAAATTCTTTCTTTTTTTTTTCTTTTATAAAAAAAAAACCAATAACAGGAACATTTATATACATTGGGTCAAATACGTTTACGTGGTGAAAATTGTTTAATATCAAAAGAGAAACGTCGTGGTACAGTTTATACACGTACAAAAACAAGTACAAGAGATATATTCGTATTTGAACGTGTTATATTATTATGTAAGAAAAAAGATGAAGGAAATGGAAAATTTCTTCAATATCAATTTAAAGAAATGATTAAAGTAAAACAAGAAAATTGATTTTTTTAAAAAAAGAAAAAAAAAAAACTTCTCCTGTTTTTCTCTCAATAGATTACTGATATTGCTGTTTGTACATATCCAAAAAATGATCGAAAGAAATTTGAAATTCTACTTAAAGATTACTCATATATTATACAAGTAGGTTATATTCAAATAGATTTTTTTTTATGAAACACAATCTAAAAGAAGTGTTAGAGTATGAAGGTAAAAATTTAGACACTCCCCACTGACTATGACAGATAGCTTAACAACATCTTCCTATCCGCTACAGATATTGTTGATCTACGATTAATGACCGCATATCAATAAAGTACTATTTGTTTATTATATTTATGAAGGATTAGGTAAAAGAATGGGAAAGAAATGTGTCTTAAAATAGATCGAATAAAATAATCTCTATGTAATTTAGCAACAGCAGTTAAATTGTGTTGCACATTTAAAACCAACAGGGATTGTGCGAATTGTTTTTTTTTTTCATTTTTGAATAAGAATTGATTTCTTTTTTTTTTTAAGCTTTCATCAAATGGAGAAGCAATTGAAGAAATGAATTCACGTTGGATTGATACCATTAAAAATTGTATTACACAACAAACAGAACAACATCGAGGTTTGTTGAAAAAGAATTGTTTTTTAAATGATACTTGAAAGTATTATTAGAAACGAATCTTTCACTTTTCTATATGAAATCGAATTAGTAATTCTAATAATTCTTTCATACTATACATTGTTAAAATAAAATTTATTATATCGTCAATTGAACAAGAGATTTACTCGAGAGATTCTCATATTATAATTTGCATAAGAATTATTAGGAGATAGTTTAGGGACGTACTAAATAAATAAGTTGAAAGTTAGGTTTTCTTGACAATGTTATTCACTAGAATGAACAATTAAATACTTGAGTAAGCCGTTACTTTGTGAAATGAGGTTGTTAGTTAGTCGTAAAGACTTCATCGAAAAAGATATGTTTATATATCATGAAACATAATTACTTATAAACTGAAAGAAATTTTGGTAAAGTAGTTTTTTTTTCATAGAACGACATTGTTGGTCTTAAAAAATTGATTCTTTGAGAAATCGATATAAATAAATTTCAATTCCTTTCTCGTAAAAACTTATAATGGGATACAAAGAAAAACTTGCGAGATATTGATTATCTTCAATCATAATTTTTATTTAGTTATTTTATGTTTACCTACGTACACATCCCTAAATATTGAATATATAAAATAAAATACTCATCGCAGAAGCAATATTTAGTGGTTTCATTAAAACCACTAACTGTAACAAATCTCAAAGATAATTGGCCCGGAAAATAGATGTATTCATTAAATAATAAAAAGAAAAATTAACACATAAAATTCAATCAAATTGAACACAGAAGTAAGAGATCTAGCATTATACTGTCTTCTTTCTTAACACATATTACTAACAAAAGAACTGCTCAAAGTGATTTATATCCATACACTCTTACTATAAAGTTAAGACATTTTTCCTTGATTTTAACCATTTGACAATGAGTTCATGGTAAACTTGAACAAAGACTTTTAACCTTTACGTTTGTCTATCAATAAATCTTATAATATTGACAATTTCCTAAACGTTTCAGTCCTGTTAAACATTTTTTTGCTCAGTTTTTCTATGAATACTTCATCCTATGGTAAAAGAAAATCTTAATTCTGTAAATAGGATCTATGTGCATAAAAACTATTGTAGTTATTCTAGTCTAATGATAAATCACTTCGTGTGATTTCTTCTTAAATGTAAAAGATCATGATTCGACGTTCAGTTTAGAATCCATATACATGACGAAATATTTTATGTCTTTATTCTATTTGTATTGGTTCTCTTTTATCGAAAAGATTGCTGAAACAATAGTTAACCGTGAAAAATTTTTATCATGAATAATACAGATTCTTGAGCAAACGAATAAATTCAATTAAAGAAACATTACTACTAATATATCTATTCTCATGTTCGATTTATACGAAAATATAACTTATATATCTGTCTTGATTCCAGTAGAATATTATTAAGAATAGAAAAATGAATTATTTTTAACAACGTGATAATGTTTCTTTTAGGTGAAACAAAACATCGAAGTACTTCATTAGATCCTTCAATAAATGCTCGTCGTCGACGTTTACAAAATCGTAAAATTGTTTTTAATCGAACTCCGTATGTAGGATATTTTTCGAAATATAATTCCTACAAGAATATTTTATTTTTCTAGTGAATCTGATGATGAACAAGCTCATTTACCAATCACATTAATCGATTTAAATATTGATAATATTACACAAAATAATAAACTGGTATTGTTATTTCAGACTAAAAAAAAAAAACTTTACATATAAAATGGTAGAAAAAAGTTTAACAACAACATATTTTTTTTTTTCATAAGGTTAAGCGCACCTAGCTGAAATCCAGATAGTAATTTTAATAGTTCATGGAATTTTGTATCTAATGCATTCTAGACCAAAATTTCATGTGGTAAAATTTTTAAAAAATCGAACACGGTAATTTTCAGGTTCCAGAATATTAATCTTTCAACAATGCTATTTTAAATATTATAAAATGAGAGATCATCGTATTTTCTACAATCTTCCCTTAAAAACTTAAAATTATCACAAAAATCGAAAAAAAAAACATGCATTTTTTCTAACGGCATTTGTAATGCTCTTTAAAATGGCATCATTAAAAAAATAAGCCTCTGGTATCCTAAAAACTATCATGTCGAATTTTTTAAAAACCTTGCTGTATAAAATCTTGCTATACTCTATTGATTATTAAAATCACTATCTAGATTTCAGCTAAGTACTTAATCTCAGAGAGAAAAAAAAAAGACTCAAAAATACGTTGTTGTTAAACTTTTTCCCAGCACTTCATCTAGAGTGGGTACTAGAATTGGGAGCCGGATACTTGCTACATAAAACCCTTTCTAGTGGGTATGGTTTGAGTCTTCTCTTCATCCACAACCATACTCTCACTCACATGTATATGAGCAAGTGTTCTGGTTAGCAACTGTCTCCGAGAGACTATCCAGGACCCACGAAAATTAGTCACTAAGGTTTATCTTAAAATTTTGTTCTTGTTGTTGTAAACGCTAGAAAGAGTACAAATACTAAATTTCAGCAGAAAAAATTGTTTCCAAAAGGAATATAAGAAAATAAAAATTATTATCAGATTCTTAAAGATAGAAAATTCTCAAAAAAAAAACAAAATGCTAGTTTTTCAGCAGTTAAAATGCTTAAATATAATTGTGTTTAGATTACGTAAAACCATAGAGTAAATAATTGTCAACAAAAATGAGATATCTCCAAGTTCTCTGCGACCCTTTTTAATTAAGATACAGTAATGTTACGAAAGCCCTTAAAGTCTATTTTTTTCCAATTTCCTGTAGAAAAAACTATTTTTTGACCTTCAATCAAATTGCTGTATCTCAGTAAAAACAATGTCGTAGTGAACTCGAAGGCATGCCATTTTGTAGACGATTGTTTACTTTATCATCCTATGTAGTCTAAACAAAATTATATTTATGCATTGAATATATTAAAAAGCTCGAGTTTTCATTTTCTGAAGTTCTTATCTATGTTAATCTTAAAAATATTTTTCAATTTTCTTGTCAGAAATAATTTTCTCTACTCAACTCACTGTTTAGACTATTTCTAGCGCTTATGACAAAAGAAAAAAATTTGAAAATAAAACTTGTTAAATAATTTTGATATCTACTGTATATATGTATGTGATTATTTTTAGGAGATTAACAATTCTATTTCACATTTATGAAAAACAATTTAATATTAATATTAAGATATTTATACAGGTAAAGTAAGAAGATCTGTAAATTTTTTTTTTGTTTAGCATTGTCGGATACAAAAAAAAGTTCATCCCGCATTTTCATTCGGAATTAGTAAATTTCAATAAAAAATTTTTTTTATTTTTAGTTAATTCGCTATGATATCCGGTGAATGATTCATGTTCTCGTTTTTTTTTTCATAAATTTTAAATGTACAATGTTTTTGATGAAGAAATTAAATTAAAAAAAAAAATCTTTGGTTTTTTTGTGTTCAATGCAATATATGATTAGACGAAATGACGAATTGATAAATATGAAATTTTGCCATTTGATGAATGCATAAGAATAAATGATTGTTGATCAGTTTTCATTGGACATAAATGATTATTTAATGTTCGTAACATTAATATTCGTTGTGATGTTGAATTACTAGCAAGCAAATAGTTTCATTGAAAAAGATTTTGAATAATATTAAATCTTATTTTTGATATTTGGGAAACAGCTTTAATTGTAATATTTCAGTTTCATCAGAAATTTTACTACGTGTAAGACATTGTTTATATGGTATCAATCAAATTCTGATTGAAGCGAACATGATCAATAAAAAATTAGGAAAACAGTTATATGAGCAACACTTTATCTGCATAGATCTTTAGATTACAATACCAAAAAGTAAAGTTTTAGTTGTAATGTTCGACTCAACGAGATTGAAATTAAGACTCTTCCTCAGATTAAAGATGATAGACTAGATCTTATTGTTCGTTCGTAATTCATTAAAAACGAAAATGGTTATAAAACTCTATAATTATTTGTCTGTTTCGTTTTATTAATGCAGGAATGTCGCAAATAATAAACGACAGATAAGTTTGCATTCACAGTAGATCAATTTGATAGCAGAAACACAATCAAAATGTATCACATTAACTCTGAACATGATACATATGAAAGAAGATTGGAAATAATACATTTATTTTAAGCTCCCACTCCAGACATGAAGAGAAAAAATGTAGCCTGGAATAATTGCAAAAGATTTCATTCTCATAGGCTTTTCTATAAAGAGTTATTACATTTTTGCGCGGTGTTCATTACAGAACTGAAAAAAAGATCTTTTGATCTGATGTTGTCTATAAGTAGATCTCATAATTATAGTTCAACGAGTATTCTATAATTTTCAATGAAAATAATGGCATCTTTCTTGGCAATATTCAATGCTTAATAACGGATTATATTTTAGATACGTTAAAATAAATCGAAAAATTTTGAATATCGAAAGCAGGACGGAGTTGTTTTTTTTTGACTGAAATTTAAGGATAATGAGATCGATTCATAGGTCGAAAGAATCTTTGTTCGCTTTATCTGCAAACATTCCGTCTTATGGTAAGAATCTAATAAAACTATCGTAATTCAATATAGAAAGCATAAGGATATAATTACTCTAGCCTAGAGATTCTTCGTTATGGGTTGAAAATATGAGCTTCCATATAAAATCTACCAGTGAAAAATAATACGTTGAAAGTAGTGTACGTTGCTTTTTTTATAATCACCTTCGCAAAATGGAATGGTTTAAGATGTTTAACAGAAGAATGTATATCTTATTAAATAGTGAATATTTCTTTTGTCAAAAACTAAAATAATAGTTTACATCTCATTAGAATTTCTAATTATTTATTCGTACACTCAACCCGTTCAGTGAAAACTAATTTGTATTGTACAAGACGGTTGAAAAATCACCCGGCAGTGTGTTATTGCAAATAGCTTTTGATAGAAGAAAGGGAAAGAGCTACGATTTTCACCGTTTGAAATATGCTGTGTCACTTTATGATTCTATGTTTGATTTAAAAATGTCGGTTGACGATCACATTGTCAGTTAGTGAAGTTTAGAAAGCTATTAATAGTTCTATGAAGACTACACAGAAATTTAATACAAACAAATGCGCTAGATCCACGCACTTATGATTCACAATCATAGCTGAAATCTCTATCGTGATCTGTTTAAAGGTTATTTAGTACAGCATTAGACGGCGAAGCTGTGAGTCTGAACCGTGAGCGTGCGGATCTGACGTATATCCTGGAATTAAATTTCTTTATTACCTTCATAGAACTATTAATATTTTTCTGAAGTCTACCGACTGAGAATTTAATCATCAACTGACATTGTTGAATCATATATAGAATTGCACAGTGACACGATCTCGTTCGAACGATAAAAGTCGAAGCTCTCTAATTTGTTTATATCATAATTTATTTGCAAACAAAAACTGTTGGATGTCTTTTAGATCATCCTAAATATTCGACCTATAAATAAACCTCTTTTGATATTGTTTGCTGTGAGTTCTTTTTCATGGATAAAAGTTATCAATTTTTTTTTTAGCTTTTGAATTGGCCTATATTATGCTTACGTATCTGAATTTTCTGTATCAATCATTGCATTCGTTACTGTATTAAGAGAGTGATCAAAAACATTGGGATATGATAATAAACGATTAGAATTACGATAATGCTTAACTTTATTCGTCGTTACAGATAGTCGCTACGAGAAAACAAAAAAAAAGAGAAAATATCATTCGCCATATTTTTTGTTAACGAAATTTTTACTTTAAGTGAATATGAAGTTGGTCGTATTTTAATAATCCAACAGAGACATTGAAGATCATCATCAATATGACTATTTGAACATTCAACTAACCGACAAAGAATAAAGTATTTCTTTAAAAAAAAAAAAAAATTTTATTTTTTTCTAATCACCTGTTGTTTGAATTTCTCTACTATGTAATACTTTTAACCAAGATAGATTAGTAAGATCATCATCTTTAATGTTATCCATGTGAAAGAAATAACTATTCTTCTATTGTCATCTAATTATCACATGGCGGTCAAATCAATATATTCAATTCGATTTCTCAATAAATGAAAATGAGAAGAAAAAAAAAAAAGATTTCAATTTTTTTCGCGTGTCGTAAATATTCGTAGAAATATTTTTATGTTATTCATGTCCAAAGAAAAAGAAAGTTAGATTCAACTGAACATGAGAAAATAAAAAATTAAAATTAAAATCAAATTCTTACTAAACAGTTCTTCATAAACAATTAAATATATTGTTGAAATAGGTAATAATTTATAATGAATATTTTTACTTGTTACATATATTAATAAGCTTCTTTTTTTTTTTTTTTAAATAATTTTTCTTAGTAATTATATGTTTAAAGTATTTAACTATGTTCATCTCATGGTATTCAAACATCTTTTGATTTAACTTTTTTTTTTTCCTAAATCAGCAGAGAATTCATTTCTTTGATATAAGAATAATCGTAATTTTGTACTTCTCAAAAGTTAATTATTAGTTTAAAAACCAATGCTACGTATACGATACATTGAATAAAGTCACATTTGAATAAGGTTAATCATGAGTGTTATTTGCAAAAAATTTCATTCTTTGAAAACATAATACATATTAAATAATAAAAAAATCTCAAGTTTGTACTCGTTGTGAAATACATTCTAATTAAAGATGAAACAAAACCTAAGCCAATATGTATTAATAGAATGTTATGTCAAGTGCAATAGTCGATTCGAAAGGAGCTGGACGAAGAATTCTTATTTTCTCTTATAAAAAAATAAAATAATAGTGTTTATTTATTACGTAGTTCTTTATTAGAAAAAGTATACAATACTCAAACATGTCTTCATGCAAGAAATATATGTTGTGTCAATCTATGAATTTCAAAATCTAATTTAATCGACATAGTTTATGCAATAAAGGTCATTGAAAAATCTTCTTGACTAGTTTTCATTGTTAAATTAAATATTAATGAACTTTTGTATGACTTTCATTTAGTAGTAAAATTCTTGAGCTTTCTTGCAAAATCAAAGTTCGTACTATGACTGAAAACTTCATTCTTTCTTAAACCATAAATACGATAGAAATAATTTTTCAAATTTAAAATAAAAATTTGATAGCTAAATAATTCTATATTGACTTAGTTTATCAAAATTGATATTATTTAGTCTCGATGTGAGGAGGGGCTGAAATGTGCTAGCCTTCTTTTCCGCACTTTTTATGTCGTGTTTGCAAAATATGTCAGGCTGTCATCGGAAGACTTTCTACGAGGCAGACAATCTCTGACTATCTTTCAAATTTTTAGCTTCTTCTACTTTTAATAACTATCGTGAATCTCCTGATTGATATCATTTTACTCCTGATATGCTCGTCGGTTGTGTAGAATCTGTTGTAAAAAAAAAAGAAAATAATTCGAAGATCTTTCACAGATCGAACAAATAATTCTAAATAATAATAATAATTTTAAAAAGAATAATTTTTCTGAACACATCATTTTTTTAAAAATTTTCTTCAACACGCTTTCATGTACGTAGGTAGATTCTGCATCATTGATGCTCACTTCCATTTTCATTCGAATTTTTTCTATTGTTCTTTCCTGTGTTCATTTCTCTTTTTCTCTCTCTCCTATATAAATCTATGTTGAATAAGAAGTAGTCACATTCTGAAGATATGGAGTAGTTCAATAAACATCATTAAAGAAAGTGACAGTAAGCTACTCTGCTAGTTTATCATGACCCATAGTTAATTCTACTTAAATCTGAACGATGAAATAGCTTTCTTTACGTAATTATAACCGAGATATTCTGATTACTTACTGAACCATAATATTGTCGACAAGAACATTTTTTAGTTGAATAGTATAACATAATATATCACAGATAGGTATAAAAGCTATTTAATTTTTTTTATGTAGAATTCATAGTGTGCCTAGTATGTAGTCATGTAAATAGATTCAAAAAAGAATATAATTTTCTTTTTTCCTTCATTATTACTTTTTAAAAAGTGTACTTGTTTTGTTTTATTTACACATTTATTCTGTGAGTAAATTTTATTTTGTTATTTGAATCGATTTTTTTTTCTTTTTAATAAAATAAAAACCATTTGTATTTATCAATTATATGGTAGGATTTAGAATTTGAATAGATTATTCTATCATGCATTCAATTATTTTAAAATAAACTATATTCATTATAGGTCGGATAAATGTCACATATTCTAAATCGAAGATGTTGTTGTCTTTTTTCTTTTAATTATATGTAATGAAATCGTTTTTTAATCCATTGTTTCATTTGCTTACTTTACTGAAGTATGTGGTATTCCATAGAAAAAACGATTCATCCTTATATGGAAAACATCAGAATACAAAGAGGATACTTTTTTTTATTTCAATAGTGTACTTATTTAAGAATTAGATGTTAAAAGGGAAATAGAAAAAAAATCTTCTGGAATATGCATTCTATCTCTTTCAAGGTCAGTTTTTATCTATAATAAAATTAATTTGTTAAAAGAGCGGTTGCTTCATATTGTTACGTCAGAACTATGTTTTCTCCATTAGTCTTTTTTTTTTTAATAGACAGTTATCAAATAGTATGTATCTTGTATCTTATTCAAGTTTCTTTTCCTATAATATTCTATCGATTGACTTAAGATGTAAATCATGATGACGTTTTTTAACAGATGCATAGAATGAAAAATGCAAATCGGTCTATAATGAGTGGACATGTGAAAGAAGAATAAAAGACGAACGAAACACCACTAACGATGATGATGATGATGATGAAAGAGAAAAAAAAGGAGAACAAGAGAGAGAAGAAACTTGCAGCATAGAGAACAAGTTTTTCTTTTATAATAATAAGGCAGCAAATGTCAGTGTGCATTTGTGAATGTATGTATGTCTTCTTGTTTTTTCTTTCTTTGAATTCTATTGTTACAGGCAACAAAAAATATAAATCTCGTAAAAAAAACAAAATCAAAGATGTTGTGTTTAATCTATAGAAATTTCTTGATCCAGTCTCATATAAACATATTCACTGCATCTTTTGCAACATAATAATAATTGTTGTCTTTTTTGTTTAATAATTTAATTGAAATACTAGTATGTTGTCTAAAATTGGAAATATATCAGTAAGAATAAGACAGAGTTAAATAAATTAGAATATTAGGAAGTTTAAATCGTAACATACTTTTTCTTTTGTAAAAAAGAAACAAAGTTATGAAATCCTGAGGAAACATTTTTTGATACACAGGTCATTAATTAACATTATTAATTGGTTCGTTCTTTTCAATAAGATTACATAATTTTACCTACAGTTTATTGCAATCTAACCTAATAGTATTATAAAAAAAAATAGTTCTGAAAGCTAAATTAAATTTTTTTCTAAAAGTTATTATTTATTTTTTTATTATAAACAGTTAGCTTTAAAAATTAATTTCCTCTTTGACACAGCCATAGAAAATTATTAATAATGAATATTTACTTTTTTTTTTTTTACAGTCTAGTATATATTTAATATTCTTAACTTTTACATTTTTAAGACATCGACGAACCACTTAGTTCTTATACATTCATAAGATAATAATAATATCGACCAATCAATGATTTGTCGAATTCATATTTTATTTCGAAAAGCTCAATTTTATAATTTTAATTATTTTTTTTTTTTCTTAATCATAAACTATGAAGTTCTTTGTAACATGAAATATAATAAAGAATAGACTTTATGAGTATTCTCTTCGTTATGTCATATGATGAGAAAAGAAAAAAGAATTTCATTAATACTAGTTACGAAACAGACTGTAAACATTTTAATCTTTAGTCGCTTTTCTGAGATTGTAAGAAATATGAAAGAGAAATTAAATCAATTTCCCTCTGAAGAATTCTATTTTTACAAAAAAAAAATAAGAAAAGATCTTTGAACCATAATCTTATTAATTAAAAATATTTTTGATATGTAGAGTCTTATCTAGTGATGAAATGACAGTTTCTCCTTTAAACCGTTAATTATTTTCTGACTTTACAAGATATATCCTAACTAACGTTTAAGTAGCCAATCATATTCTAAATCTATTTCAGTCACATTGTGACTTCTATTTTTACATACTTCAGTACTTGACGAGCATTGCATATAAAAAAAAATATGTTCTTAAGAAAATTCATTAAGATTAAAAAACAACAAAGCCAAATAATTTAGATGGCTTCTATGACGAGCATATTACAAAAAAGAAAAAAGAAGGAATTATAAAAACTTCATCATGTTAAGAGATTGTAATATGTAAAGAAGTTATTTTAGGCATTCATAAATGCATTTTTTAATTTATATTGCTTAAAGAAATCTTTAGTGAAATACTTTCTTAAGATAAATAAAAAAGTATTGAATCGTACTTTGTCTTTTTCTAAGTATAATAATTAAAATTTTCAAACATTTAGTCAAACACATCTCAAACAATGTCAACACCTATTGATCATGAACAAAATCAAACATCATGGTCTTGTCGTGAATGTATTATATGTGGTTCAAAAGCTATTGGTATTAATTTTGGTGTACTTACATGTGCACCATGTAAAGGTATTTGATATTTTATGAAAATAAAATGTAAAAAAACAAAAAAAAAAAGAAAGCTTTTTATTTTTAATATTCTAGCATTTTTCCGTCGTAATGCTCGACGAAAAGGAGTAAAATATTTCTAAGAATTTATTTAATTTAAAAAATTCATTAAATTTAGATTCTTGAATCACCATGTCAACATCATGATATAGATCTATCAACAGTAAATGATACTGATGATCATTGTAATACAGATCGTTATGTACAAATACGTCGATGTTCATCATGTCGATTACGTCGTTGTTTTAATATGGGAATGAAAGAAGAATTAGTTCGAACAGAAGAAGAAAATGTTCGACATAAACAACTTGTAGATATGAATAGACGAAAACGAGAATTCTTAAAACAAAAACAACAAGACAAACAATTATCAATTTCACAGGTATATTAAATATGAAAGATTTTTTTGTTAAAGAGTTGATCATTTGAAAATTATTATTATTGTTTCATTTGGTTAGTAGTAGTCAAAAACACTTCACTCATGTAAATTATAATCTTTTTAATTGTTCGAATAACTTAAATGACATTTTCTTTTGTGTGATTCATAGATCAAGGCTCGTAATTGTCTATGAACAAATCAAACATAATTGAAGAATACTGAACTTCATCAGTTTAGTTTTACTTGAAGTATAATATTTTGTAAAGAGTTTAGAAGAGTTGTTCGTCAAACAGATTCGATTTTTATATTTTTAAATGAATCATTCACACTAATATTAATTTAAAGAATAAACTCAATCATTTGAATGTGAAGAAAAGATTCATCCATGTAAAGGATGGTCCACAAGTCACTCAACACTCTTTGATTATAAATAACTTTTGATAGAGGAAATGAAGACACATCGATTTAATAAATTATAGATTTTTCTAAGATGTTTTCTTAATCAATTTTCTAAAAAAATTACCAAAAAATGATTTCTTATAGAATAAGAAAAACGCAAAAAAGTGAGTTTTTTTTTCATGGAAAATTAATCCAAAAATTGGCTCAGAATTTCGAAAAGAATATCAATAAGTTCTGAAGAAGAAACTATCAAAATCTGAGGAACGTCAAAAATCCAATGTAGTCAACACTTGTGGAATACATTGGTTTAAGTCCTTGGAAACAACTAGGTCATATTGTCTTATATTATACATTTTGATGCTTCTTCATCTCTTCTTTGAAACAGTTAAAACTGCAGCTCTCTATATGGTTCCTATCAAAAGTTATTCGTAATCAAAGAGTGTCGGATGACTTCTGAGTTACCCTATATTTCAATAAACTATGACACAATATAGATATTAACAATCAATTAAAGTATATTGGACATTTAGTATCTCTATAAATTCGTTTTCTACTTTCATCTGTGTATTCTTGTTCAATATTACTGTCTCTTATTGATTGTTTTATGCAATTTTTTGATACAACAAAATAATACATTCGACTTATTTATTTTTTGTTTTTCTCAAAATTTTCTTTAGCGAGAGTTTATCGTAGCTCGCAACTGTCCTAGACCCATGTGATGATTAGATACATATAATAATGTTTCGATGCCCTTTATGAAGATCAATTTCTTGCTATTTTTCTGTTTCGAAACGGCATTTAGATATGATAAACCGTAGTTGTAGACAATAAATACTTATTCAAACAACAAAGTGTTACTACCTGACTATACACTAATATTAGGTGAATCCATTTACTGGAAATAAATGACTAAATATCTTACAGGATTTTATAATATTTTTCTTTTCAATAACATATTCTAATCAACTATTAAAATCTTATTAGAAGGAAAGATAAGTTTTTAGCAAGTATAATATTATAATAGCAATAAAAATGATCATTCTATAAGAAATATCTTTGTTAGTTTTTTATGATATTGTCTATAATTATTTTTTATAGTGCATTGTAAACAATGATAAACTCTTACGTGAATCAGATTGGTGTCATTTAACAAATATTGTTTCAGCTTATGAAACACATTGTCTTAAAACTTATATTCAAAAGTGTTCAGATATGTACAATAATGAAACAACATCATCGATGCATATACATGCACCTTCAAAATATTGTACAGCAATACCAATGACATTAACTGCTTCACTCTGTTCATTTCTTCAATCATTACCAGCTTTTCATTCTTTATCACAGATAAATCGAACATTTTTATGTAAAAATAATCTTCGTTCATTACTATTTCCAAATATGTTTGAACTTCGACAATCGTGTTTTTCTGAACCATGGCAGGTAAAAAAAAACAACGAAAAGTATATGTTTAAAGTTAAAAAATAATAATTACTTTTTTCTAGATGTCGCTTGAGAGAGCTACTTGGGAATTAATATGTGGTCCTCAATTATTTGCAGAATTTAGTCGTACAACTAAAGTAGCTGAGAGATTATTAATAACTGATCCTGTAGTAATACGTCTTTGGCTAGTTGTACTCTTTTTTTCATCATCACTTTTTTGCTTATATGATAATTATCTTGTTTTAAAAATTCCAAAGAAAAAAACTGCTATTATTGAAATTCAAAATATTTATGCGACTCTTCTATGGAAATATTTATTACATCGTCATGGAAATTTTAGTGCAGTTCAAATTTATTCGAATTTAATTCATACTTATTTACAAATGCAACGTGTTGGATTTGAAATTGGTATACAAGTACGAACACGTAATGAATTATTGATTACATATGAGACACTTAATCAAATATTAGCTCTTGATATCCGTGATAATTAGAAATTAATAATAAAAGAAAAGTGAACTGTATATGAAAGAGAAAAAGTATTGTCATAAGAATTTATTATTATGTCTGATTTATTTCTTTTTTTTCTTTTTTTGGTAAAATAATGTTTAAATATTATTTTGATTTATTTCATAGTTTCCAAAAGAAAAGCTAATGAATTAACTGTTAAAAAAAGAAAAGAAGTCAAATTAAAAGGATAGTATTATAAAACAAGAATAAAAAAAAAGAAATCTCTTCGAGATAGATCTCGTTCAAGACATAAGTCAATATAAACTTAAATTGTTTTTCTCATAATTTTTATATGTTTATACAAAACTAATTTGCAAAATTGAATTTAAATGACAAGTACAAATAATTTATTTGAATTTAATATGATTTTCAAAATAATTATGAAAACTGTTTTTCATTTTTATTCAAAAATATGTACATCTTGTAAAATGATATTAAAGAAAATTAAATAATTTAATTTACATTCTTAAATCAACTTGTTTGTATTCTAATAAATCTATGAATATAGTCAAAATTTTAATAACAATAATAATTATACTTTCGAACGATATCGCTAGTTTACGGTAGTGCAAAACGAATAACTAATAATGATAAACAATACGATAATAATTAATAAATATTTACAATATTTGAAAAAATAATATTATGCATTATTGTTGTTGTCTTTGTATCAATATAATTTAAACTTAATTGGACAACATGATATATCGTAATAATAAGAAGATTCGAGTCTTGGTTTTCTTTTATGCAATAAGAACATGGAAGAAAGAACAGAAAACACAAAACAACACGAGTAAACGAGGACAAAAGGGTTCGCGTTATATACTCAGTTTGAGATATATTCCAACAGTATGGAATATATGAATGATTGATGATTTATAATGATATTGAGGAGAATCTTTTATACAATGTTTAAAGGTGAAAAATACGTTCGTTTAATTTTTCATTAAACTATTAGTTTGGTAACGAATACTAAAAAAAAAACATTTACTAATATTACTAAAAATACATGACATAAACAAAAATGCGCATACCTTTGCTTTTTTTTTTTGTTATTACCGTTTAGTTTTTTGTTTTTTATCAACAACAACAAACAAAAAAAAAAAAAGGTATGCTACCGTTATTGATCTAGTCTATGAAAATAATATGTTTAAATTCTAAATGGATTAGAAATCGAATGGATTTAATTTCTATACTAATCTTATCTTGTTTGATAATATTTCGAGTATATAGCAATAGTTTTATTTTTCTTATTTTAGACGTTTATTAATTTCTATTTACAATCAAAACAAAACTAATAACCCGGTGAAAAAAATTTTTTTTTTCCAACATTATCAATCAAATTAGTCACGCGCATTATTAATGCACTTGTCCATGGTCTTATTAACGATATATCTAGAGTAAGTTTGAAATGAAAAATTTAATGTTGAATTATTTTAGAAAACAAAATAATAATAAAACTTTCAATCAAATTTGGGTACATATTTTGCTTTTGTAAATTTTTTTCCCACGAATTTCCATTGAAGCAATGATATAGTATGCTTTGAGTACATTTTGCAAGCATGGCTTTATGATATTTTTTACTCTTCTTATCAGGATATGTTTGTCGTAAAAATTGAAAGATTTACTATTGAATAATGCTCGAAAAATCTTACAAAATAGGAAGATTTCTTTAAACAACATAAATAAGTTTAGATTTTGATGAAATCATTCAAATAGTTTTATAATTTACTCATTATTATCACTATTATTTAAATTTGTGGAATCTGTATCCCGAAATGGACAAGGTGTTTGTAAAATCTAAATGTAAGTTTTTTATTTTGAATTAAATACATTATTAAAACACGTCTTACTTCTTTTCGTCGAGCATTTCGACGGAAAAAAGCTTAAATAAATATTAAAATAAGATTTTATTTACGATGTCGGTAANATACACCTATATTTTCATCAAATCATTCAAATAGTTTTATAATTTCCTCTCTATTTTATTTATTTTTTATTCCAATATTAGAAGTTTAAAGAAAAATGTCGTCTCCAACTCCAACAACACCAAGCGTTTATCATCCTAAACATCGATCATGGTGGCCTAAACATGAATGTGTAATATGTGGTTCAAAAGCTATTGGTATTAATTTTGGTGCGCCTACATGTGCTCCATGTAAAGGTATTCAATATTTCATAAAATATATCAAATGGCGATTATGCGAAATTCGAGAAAGAAAATCTCTTTTGGTATGATTAGATAGAGCTCGTTGAGTTTCATCTAACAAATGTTATGTTAAGCATATTCAGATAATGACTTTCTAGGTAAATTTATGAAAACTAGGTTTAAAAAAAAATCAGAAAAGCCTATAAAAATTAACACATGCCAATAATTTCAAGTCTCAGTAACGGAAGTTTTCTTTTTTTTGGCGATTTTACTTTGGAAATGAATTGCTATCATATCAGAAAATACGATTTTCTCAAAAATCATACATAGTTTTTTTTTTTGGAACCATATGATAAATAAAATCATAAAAAGATTTCGCTATTGAAACTTGATACTATTGATGTATTTGAATTTTTATAGGCTTTTATAATTTGTTTTTAACTAATTTTCACAAGTTTCGGTACAAAACCATTATCTGAAAACAGTAGTTTTTTTTTTATATGTAACTCGACAAGCTTAATCTAATCATGTGGAAAAAAAAATTTTTTTTTATTAATTTTGAATTACCGACATCGTAAATAAAATCTTATTTTAATATTTATTTAAGCTTTTTTCCGTCGAAATGCTCGACGAAAAGAAGTAAGACGTGTTTTAATAATGTATTTAATTCAAAATAAAAAACTTACATTTAGATTTTACAAACACCTTGTCCATTTCGGGATACAGATTCCACAAATTTAAATAATAGTGATAATAATGAAAAATCAAGTTATTGTTCACAAGTACGATATTGTTCATCATGTCGATTACGTCGTTGTTTTGATATGGGTATGAAAGAAGAATTAGTTCGAACCGATGAAGAAAATGAACGATATAGACAACTTGTGGAAACTAATAGACAACGTCGACAACAATTATTACAACAAGAACAAATAGAAAATTCAGTAGCAATTCTTCGGGTATGATTATTTAGTTTTTATTTTATTGAATAATTATCTTACTAATTGATTAGAAATTTTCCTAAGAGAAATAACTTCTTAAACTAAAAGTACATTGTTGTTTTATTTTTGTGTCATTTGAAACTAAAGATTGAAATTTTTAAAATCTGTCTTATGAAATATACAAATACAAAATTTCAGAAAGCAATTCGACCATCAGAAAAAAAAATTTTTTACCTAAAAACTAAAGATTAATACTATAAAAAATTTTCGAAAGAAATATCTACTAGACAAATTTCTCGAATGTACAGATAATTAATATAAATACAACATCTGATATTATCATGAAATGACTAATTTTAGCTTGAAAATAAAAAGTTCGACTATGATGAAAACAGAACAAGAATAATTATATATCAATGCTGTTCACAACTACAGTTAACGTTAGTTTGTTTGTTTTTTTTTTTATGTAGACTTGATAAGATTTCTTTTTCTTTCCGTCAGATTCCACTCAATTTATAACAGAACTACTTATATATATATAGTTCTCAAAGAGTGTTTACAAATTAGCTCTATATGCTAAATATCACAATTGAGTCAACCAGATTTTCGAGGTCAAGAATTTGCAGCGACTATATGTAAATAAATATTAACACCCATGTTTGATTCTAACTAATATAAAATCTAAGCTGCTGCCCATAGTCATGTACCAATGGAGTTATTCGAATTTGAAGTTATTTTCATAGTCTATGCCATGTGAATACATTTGAAAATATCATCGGCATTTATTTTTCTTTCGTCGTCATGACTAGATAGAAATCGGCGAGATACATAAGAAAAAAAAAAGTAATATCAAATATACTCAAAAGTAATTTGGCGAACAAACCCAAGGTAACATTTTTATTAAATATAAAGGTAATAGACACAAAATTCTAAATATTGTAGAATTGCTTTTAAATGTATATGATATTGTTTTTAATTTCCTTATGTAACTCGTTGAGCTCTATTGAACAATGGCGAAAAAAAAAAGAAATAAATGTGCCTAAAATATTAAAGCGTATCCATAGGGCATCGAGGGAAATTCATAGTTGGGTGCGGAGATTTCCTTGCTAGAACAGCTGCTTGCAGTGCAGATTTTAGAAGAATTATAAATAGAATAACCAGATAACAATGATACATTGTATTAATCTAGTATGAAAAAATAATTGTCATCATAAAGTAATTGGTTTAATTGTTCCAATATTATTAATCAAATGGATAATTCTAATGAATTGGCAAGTATTAATCAACGAAAAAAAAGATATATATACATATCAGAGATCGTCACAGGATAGGGCTGCCTTGATTCTACAAAAAAATTTGAAAGAGAATCTGATTAAAATTCAGTATTTTTATTGGAAAACCGATTAAAGTGGTAATATTTTTATTGAATTTTAACCTAAATATATGATGTTCAATCGGTTTTGCTTTTTCCAAGAAGTCTCCATATCAAAAGGCTTTCTTACTCAGCTCAAGAAGTTTATGTGAATGAAAAATAGTTTAACGACGGAATCCAATGAAAAGTTGTCTTTCAATCTGAAGATAATATCTTATTTAACTCTGTTGAAAAATAGTTGTCTTTAGTTTAACACCCACGATGAATAAACAACCACTTTATATTAGAAGTTCGCTCACAGGAAAATAACAAAGGCAGCGCCAAAATCCCTACCAACGAAAAAAAGGCTAAAATTCAGATAAAAATAGATTGTTTTTGGATTAAAAATCAACCGTAGTACGGCTTGTTCAAGCGTAACGTTGTGACATTTTGGCAAACTTTTTTTTGAAATATCTCGAGAACAATGATAGCTAGAAAGTTCATTCAAACGCCATTCGACGTAGCTCGATGAGTTCTATCTATACTATAAATTTGATGTTTTTTGGTTGAACTCTATAATGTACAGAAATGGTTTATAGTCACGTAACACTGTGACATAAAAGGACTCTGAGTTTGCAACGCTCTGACACTCTTTTTTGTCCATCAATTTTGGGTCACTTAACGTGCTCAAATCTATTTGATTTGTACAGCAATTGGTCTATTCTCTACATATAACCTCTGTTCAAAAAATCAAGTAGCTACGGCGAACCGGAAGCTCGTTATTAGTATGGGAAGTTGAAAACTCTACAACAATGTAAAATTTGTCTTCGGGAGTGAACGTTAAACATAAATATGCTATTTTGTAGAGAATTAAATTCTGTATCGAATGGTATGATAATCAGACGTTTTCAAAAAAATGTCTTCCCTGAGAAATTAAAAATACGATTTTTCAAAAGTTTAAAACACCGTTTTGGTTGCCAAAATGCGATTTTTTTCAAGAAAGAATATTAAATTCGTAATCAGCGCAAAAACCTACATCTAATGATGTGTCGAGATCGGTCTATCTCCAAAAAAAAATTTTTCAAAAACTTCATCACCGAAGTAGCGCGTTGTTACGTGGACAAGCCGAGTAGCACTACTTTAATCAGATTTTCTCAGCTAATAGACAGATTTCATTCGACTTAAATCTTTTTTCATCGATTATTCCAAATAAAACAATTAGAAATGATTATTAGAAATCGATTTCAATTGATTAAAGTTAGTTAACCCAAAAAAATTATTAAAAAATATTACAATTAAATGAAATCTATCTTTTTTGACTGCAAAGTCTGATTAAAGGCAGGCTAAAATAGTGCCATTTCAATTAACTTTTACGCCAGACACAATCGATTTTGATCTGATCTTTAACCGTTTTTCTACATGGACAAATGAGTCTCAGAATACTTTTTTTTTTAAATGTTTGTTTGGTTCTATAGGTAAATGCGAGGAAAAACCTAGGCAATGAATAGAAGGACAGTTTTGGAAGAATTACATGAACTTCCGTAATAGAAAGTGATTATTTTTTATTTCATGGAAATGGGACAAGAAATTTATTTATTGTCATTTTAGTTGAAGCGTTGAGCTAGCAATTATTATCGTATTTTGAAACATGATATGTCAAAGATCGATCTAGTATTACATGTACTATTTGTCGTAGTAAGGAGTTCAGAAAAAAAATGAATTTTTCAAGTTTCACTTTTTAAACAGAAGAACAACATTAATGGTGTTTAATTACATAGTAACTTTTATTGTGACACTTTCGAAATAACATAAAATATGGATGCGAGTTTCCACAGCAATCAGATAATTTTTATGAAGATTTTAGATCCTATACTAGACTTAATCAGTTTAGACGCCCTACCTTGCTCTGCCTTGAGGGCAGAGCAAAACAAATTGCCCTGTGACGGTCTCTAATAGATATCCACTCGACACGCTAATCGAATCACTTCGCAAAAAACAGTAATGTCAGTCACTCTATTAAAAGTTTCTAAAAATACACTTCGATTAATATGCAACTAATCGAAAAAGCGTGACTAAAATTCTTTGAACATGTGAATACTCTGAAAAACATGATTGTCATGGACGATTACATACAAAATTAAACTACGCATTTATTAAAACAGTTGGCGAACATGAAAATCATGGTGATAATTAACGATGCGCAAGGACTCGCAAATATTTAGAAAGATTAAGGCAAGAATTAGAACAAAATCAAGCAAATCCGCATAATATTTTAACATAAGCAAACGTCGGCGTGCCCGATGAGGAGTGTGTACGATTACCAAGTAATGACAATTTAAAAAGAAATGTTCGTTGCTGGCGCCAAGAAAATACTACTCAACTAACAAACATTGATTTTTCTATTATTTCCCCAAAGTACCATCAAACAACTTGCAACACCATCTTTTTTTCGGAAACTTACTTTATATTTTGCAAACAAGTGTCCTATACCTGGCATAGACTATAAATGGCTTGAAACTCTAATATATCGATCCGTACATGCCAGAGTCTATCGAATCTGATAATGTTAGATCTAACGAACTGTAATCGTACGAAAAAGTGTGTAAAGTGCGCTAAACAGAAAAGTATCTCGTGTCTTCGAGGTGATTCTCCAATTTCGGTAAGAAAATTCCATTGAAATCATCAAATTACGGTTCGAACGGATTCAGATCCGATAATTTTGAACCCGACTGGTTCTAGCACTCGATTTGAGCTGTACTTGGACAATCTCAATGAAATTTTCTAATTGACCTCGAAGATACGAGATACTTTTTTCCCGCCTTTTGTATTTCATAACTAATGTATCCTACATATTTCGCAGACGGCTAGAGAGCCCATTGGCTCCAAAGCTCATATTTTAAATTAGTTACTTTCGGCAATAATAACATTCTTTGAATCTAAGCTGTGACCAATTAAGTTAACATATTATTGAAATTGCTTTTTTTTTCTTTTAAATTTTTATTTAGCCAATTGTAAAAGCAAGTGATTTATTGCATGAAACAGATTGGACTCATTTATCAAATATAGTTTTTGCTTATGAAACTCATTGTCTTAAAAATTATATTCAACGACGTAAAAATTTATTTAATACTAAAATGCAAATACCTAATGATCCAAATGTAAAAATAAATTATCATTCATCCACAACTGTTAATAATTTAACATCATTTACATCATTTCTATCATCAATTCCAACTATTCAAACTCTTGCAAAATCTGATCGAATGTTTCTATGTAAACATAATATTCGTCCATTAATTTTACTTAATTTACATGAACTTGAACAATTATGTTATTCCGAACCTTGGCAGGTAAAATAAATATTTATTTGTTTGTTTGTTTTATGTTTCGTTTTTTTTTTTGAATTTCAATATAAAAACAAAAATATGTTTTTTTTTTTTTCTTTAGTTAACTTATGATAATCTTTCAGCAGAATATGTTTGTGGAAGTAATTTATTTCCTGAATTTGTTAATACGAAACGTCGAGCTGAACAATTATTAATAACTGATCCAGTAGTAACACGTCTTTGGCTTCTTGTACTATTTTTTTCAACACCACTTCATTGTTATTATCAATCAACTTTACCAGAAATAGATGTTAATCGAAGACGAACTATTATGAAAGTTCAAGATATATATATAACATTATTATGGAAATATTTATCACATCGTCATGGTGATACGGGAGCAATTCGTATATTTTTAAATCTCAATGCTGTTTATTTACGAATGCAACGAATAAGTCAAGCAGTAAATAAAGAAATTCGAACACGAAATGATTTATCAGCATTAAATGAAGCATTCAATCGAGCAGTGATTATTGACAGTGACAATAAATAATAGAACTAGTTTTTTTTTTTATTTTACCGGGTGGTATTTATATTTAAGAATGTATTATTGTTTATGACAAGTATCTTTTTTCGTTTTATTTTGCTTTGAGTGAAAATCCTTTAAAATTGTCTTTCGATATTTTAAATTTGTTTATAATTGCAATTAAATTAAAACCAATGTGTATTATATATATATATATATATATTAGAATGAAATAGTAGAAAGATTATTGTTGGATCGTTATTTCTGTAATTAACAATTGAACAAAATGGATTCACTTTGGATTTTATGCATTTTTGACTTAACAATAATTTCATTGGAATTGTTTGTTTTTTCTTGTAGAAGATTCAATTTTTTTTAATATAAAATCACAATTTGACTTTAAAGTAATCAATATATTATAGAGATTTTTCTACGGAATAGTATATTTTGATAGAACTAATATTTCGATGTTGCAATGAACATGAATGCCAATTCTATAATACATACTGTTTAGTATTTCAGTATCTATACCAATACTTCACCTTCAGAAAAATTTTCAAAGAACTCCTATTTATGTAAGATATGATATTTTATCGAGAAAAATGTTTGTTTATTTTCTCTCTAATGTAAACATGATCGGAACTGACTCAAACTCTCTTTCAAGAGGACAATTTTTAGAAACAAAAAAAAAATCGATTTTGTTTTCTACTCTTCAAAAACATTCATCATAACGAAGTTTTCATTACAGAGAATCGCTCACTAGTAGAGGTTTTACTATATATTGTACTGCACTGTTTGTTTTTGAATAACATTTGATAGGAATATCATAGAGACTTGCAATTTTCGCCAATTATTGAATTATGTCATAATTTGTTTTAGACAGCAATTGACCAATCAAGTGAGTTCTTGGTGAAGGTTTTTTAAAACAGTATTCTAAAGCAAATTTTCCTTTCGATCTATATAAGATCGACGTTCCTAACTTGCTCCACTCGAAAGTTATGAGGAAAACCTCTAACGTGAGCCAATAGACAATATTTACTTTTAGGTTCGAAATGATTTATCTGAACATTTTTTAACTGTCGGCTCCTTCATTACATGAAGGCTGATAGTGAAATTTCAGAAATATTGATATTACAGAGTGAGATCAGTACAAGATTGAAAAAGCAAATGTCATCATTCGACTAAGCATGATGAATTACTCCTGCCTAGTTGCTTTTCCTATTAATCACAGGTTAGTTCGCTGGAATCGAGCGTTTCAGAAAGTCTATATAAATCTCTAAAGAAATAACCTACGAATATTGGTTCTGTATAGATCGAAAGAAAAATGAGCTTAGGGATATTATTTTCAAAAATTTTCACCAAGAACTTACCTGATTGATTAATTGCTGACTAATCAAAAATCGCAAGTCTCTATGATATTCCTATCAAAAGTTATTCAAAAAACAGTAGCACATATTATACTTTGAAATGAATAGTAGATGTTATGTCAAGTCAACTTTGTCTTACAAATTGGTACGTATTTCAGTTTCTATGATGGATATTGTCGTAATGTCAATTAGAATAAAAAATTACACATAAATTTCCTTTAACATAGAAAATGTATGGTTTTTCTAGATTAACAAGTCATAACAACAGTGACATATGTTATGGATTGTGTTAGATAAATATTGAGAAAAGAAAGATAGAGAAAACAAACGATACTAGATAATAAATTATATACATATCTATGAATGTTTACGAATAGGAATCTTACCAAATTTTATTATTGTTATGAATAATATTTTGTAAGATAGAAGAAAATGATTTTTAACTACTAATTATAATCGAAATGAAACCTTAAACAATGGAAATTATTAAAGTTTTATGATCTTACTTCAATTTTTTTTTGTTCAGTATTCTAATTTAAATTATATTATACAATCAGAATAACTAGTTTCAAGAAAAAAAAATGGAAAATATTTCACAATAAAATGTTCGAGTATGGATAACGATTCTGTTTAGAATATAATATGGCTTATTATGAGTAATCAAATAACAAATAACGTCTAATTTAGTATGCTGAGCATTTGTTACTAAAAAAAGAGAACGTTCCAATGGCTTTTTGCTTGAGATTATTCCCATTCGATCGGTCATGATGAGTGAAAAAAAAAAGTATGTTTCAGCTTCGTTTCCCGGTCTTCACTTGTTCAGTTATGAGATGTCCTACTCGATTTTTGCCCAATGAGCATTGAATTACTGAACACATGCATGATCGAAATTCGAGCTGAAATTTTGTCCACAGATAGGCCTTTTAATCACTAGAAACACCGCAAAGTTTGAGCCAGAACACACGTATTCTTGTCAAGATATTTAGTTGCATTTTGAAAAAACGTCTGTTTTATGCTCTGTTACAAAACAAGGACGTTTCTATCTCGATATGAATATGTTTGACTTAGCTCAAACTTTGGTATGTTTCTAGTGACTATACCATCTAACTATCGACAAAATTTCAGCTCAAAATTCGATTATGCAAGTACACAGCAAGACTCCATAACTCAACAAGCGAAGACTGAAAAACAGTTGGGAACGTTCTTTCGTAAATTGTTAACGAATTTTGGTATTCTTACGGAAGTGTATTGATCTGTAAAATATTTCTGATTAAAACATACGACAATCAAGAAAGCAGGTCATGCATGTTGAAATATAATTGCTTCTCCAGTATCTATATAAATCAAACTTTATACTATTTATCATTCAGATATATAAGCGGATTGAATCTTAGTTCTTATTTTTTTCGATTAAATGCCTTGATTAGAGAAAAAATAATTCCTGGATCTATACCTAGAAAAAGAAGATGAAATTCTGATTTTCTCTAGTAGCATTTAATTGAACAATGATTTCCTGTAGAGAGTCATTATATCATTTTTAATAAATCAACTTTGAATGATTTGTAACATTTTTTTTTTCTTTAGATTTTTCCAGAAGAAAATCTAAACAAATGAACATGGTAAAAGTATTTTAAACTAAGACAATATGTCAATATATAAGCAGTACTATATCTCATAATTCTATTGATTACGTAAGCAATGGTGTTTTTTTTTTGACTGAGAGAATTATTCGATTTTCTGCGAAATAGAAAATCAAATATCGTGTTTTCAAATAAAATTTAAAACACTACACTCATTTTGTTAGTTTATTTCGATTGTTTTTGTAGGTCATTAGCCGTCATACGACCACGAAATGATCCATTTGAAAGATTTTGATGAAAAACAGAACTTAACATGTGAACATACAAATTCAATATTCAAACTTTGTAGTTGATATTAATGTTTATCTAATATGTGTTAAAACAAGTTTCTATTAGCTAATGAACAATATTATTTTTTTTTTCTTGTATTCATTTTCTTTAAAATCTACTAATACATCTGTATATTTAAATGCTTAAATAAACTATTCGATTTTTTTTTTTTCATTTGAAAAACATTCTACACATGAGTAATTTTGGAATCAATTGATTATTTTCTTCATGGAAATTGTCAATCTTTCAATAGATGTCAATATAAAATTTTCCTATTGAACTATGATATCTTAAAAATAGTTCTTAAATATATCAAAATAAGAGAATTTATTCAACAAATGATCTGACCTTCTTTTTTTTTTTCAAGGTTCACATGTTACTATTTTAAGAACATATATCGACTAGTATCCTGACGTAATATAAACACGAGAGAAAAAAGTAAACTGCGCGTTTGTTTCAATTTCAACACTACCGGAAGAACGAATAAAATTGAGTGTGTTGTTATTTCTTTTCCTATTAAACAATGATGAGTTACAAGAACACATACACATATACGTACTAAACAGAACAATACTTATCATTGTGGTTCTTGACTATCGAAGAACACTGAAAATTTTTCGTTCTGTATACCTTCTTTCTTTTTTTTTTTTTTGTTTTGTTTTTTTTCGGAAATGATATGAATATAACATCGAATATTCGTGATATAAATTTAACATCATTAATTCTTGATGGAATAAATGAAAATGATATTATTAATAGTACAATAACGACAATTACAACAAAAACAACAATAAAAACAACAACAAGTATATTTCTTCGTTTAATTAATGCAACAAGAATATATCCTTATTTACGTCAACCATTATCAACATCACCAACACCATTATTATTAAATAAATATTTTATATTAAAATCACAATTTCATATTATTATGCGTGTTGTTGAATTATTTATATTAAGTTTAACATTACCATTATATGCAATTGCTTTTATACTTTTTATTCAATTAACTGTATTACGTATAAATAGAAATACAGCTATATCTGGTGGTGGTTCACGTAGTCGTAGTCAACGACGTCGACAACGTATGCGTAGTCTTATATGGACATCAAATTATTTACTTGTTGATTTTCTTAATCTTTTAAATGAGCTTGCTTATGTTATTATACATACAACAGGTCAATTAGCACATAAATCTTTGGCTGGCCGTTTTTATTGTCAATTACAAGTTTATGTACCATTATATTTAACTGTACTTATGGCATATAGTTTAACAGCTATATCTATTTATCGTCGTCGTCATTTTGTAAATTTAAATAATCAACTAGCACAATCAAATAAGACAAATATTATGATGATTATTGCACTATGGATTATGCCAATAATAACATCGATTATTCCAACTTTTATATTAGCACATTTTAATATTTTAAAAATAACACAACATGAAACAACAAATCAATGTCAAATTTCGTATACATATGAATCAAATGTTGAAGCTGTTTATATATTTTATAGACTTGGTAAAAGAAAAACAAAAACGAAAATATATTTTAACAGAGTATATCAGAAAAATTCAAATGTAGAATATAATGAAACTATTCTTATTGTAAATAAGAAGAGTTGTAGATTTTCGACACATAATTAGATCTGTGACAGTTAGCCATTGAACAACTAATGACAACAGGGCTGGCCCGAGCCAGCAAACATTGGGAGGTTGTCGCGATTTTTTGGGGGATTGTTTCGGATATTTTTAATGCGAATAAAACTTTTTTCTAACACTACTCACGAAAAAAAATTCATTTTTGCCGGGTAAAAACGACAATTTTCGATTATTGGGGGGTTATCATAACCCCCAAAATCCCCTATCGGGCCAGCCCTGAATGACAAGTTCTTTTTAAAAGACCTGAACTATTCAAATAGATCAATCCTAGATATGTGACAGCTCTCATTTCTATGAACCTATTCTGTCTTGAAGACTGTATATATAGTGATCAATTCTGTTTTGACAACTGGAACATTTATGAAATAGAATAGCTACATTACCATTATTCGTAGACATAGTTCATATGAAAAGAACTGGTTCATAGAACTTTGAACTATCATAGATCTATGTATTTTTGTATGAACAAAATTCTTGATGAGATTAGTTGGTTGTACAAGTAATATTTCGTTTCTACAGGTGTAAATATATGAACAAAATTTGCTTTTATACATAAGAGAATTTCGAATGTTGAATATCTCAGGATAGAAGATACTAGAAAAGTTACATTTTATCCAATGAACTCATCTCATTAACAGCTTTGTTAAAAAATCCAGTAAAGTTTCGATTTTTCACGAACAAAGACCCATTAAACCAGAACATTCTAGACTTTTCTATTACTCATACAAATGAAAGTCCTCTTGGCCGAAAAATAATTTAGCATCTGAACAGATTCCCTGATCAATTCTAGAAACTGAACCTGTCAACCTATAATATAGATAAAGAATTGTTTATATATCATCATCAGTTAGTATGATATATATATATATATCGATTATGGATTTATTTAAAGCTGTATACCAACTCTAACAAAGTTTTCTAGATCTCAAAAATAAGATCGGAATTGTAAAAAACAAAGCAAAATCTTTTGCAAATCTTTATTCAAAAACATACTATTTTATTCTATCATAATGAAATCAACACTCATGTTTAATGTTGTTTATCTTTTTCAATTAACTATCTTATTATTTTTTTTTGTAAGGTAATGAAAAGTATATGATTGATTTCTTGCTCATATAAAATTTATCTGCAACTATTTCAGGAGTGTATTTTGTACATTAGAAAATAAAATTTTCATTGATGAAAACTTTCCATAATTTATTTTCTTTTTTAATGTTTATATCACTGTAAAAAATTTTCTACGATTTTCTTTTTTTTGTCAAAACAATATTAAACATTGTTTTTATTTTATATTTTTCTTTAGGTAATATATTTCTTTTACCCATATCAATATCATTAGCTTGTTATATAAGAATATATGTTGATTTAATACGCATGCAACGACGTTTTACTCGAGTATTTAAACGTCATGTACATATACGAAAAAATCTTATATCACAAATACTTTTTTTATTTCTTAATTTTGCTGTTTTTTGGTTACCTGCTGAAATAATAATGCTTTATACAAAAACTCATCCTCTTAAAGATGCTATACAAGTAACAAAATCTTTAAATATTCTACTTGATCCATTAATTATTGCTGGTTTTGATACACGTTATTCATCAGCTGGTCAACAATTATTATCACGATGGCCTTTTAATCAATTTCTTTGTCTTTTTAATATTATTCGTCGATATAATTCTTCAACATCAACATCAGCAACGATTAGAAATCGTTTAGCACATTTACAACAACCGATGAATCAGCAAATGGCAACAGTTGCTACTTGGAATATGGCTAATAATGATGATATTACTCTTGTAGAATCAGTATCAAATCATTCTCTACAAGTACAAAGAGCAAGACGATATCAACAACGATCATCATCGTCATTAAATCAACAGCAATCAACAAATAGACGACCAAGATCAAGGCAAAGACGCATGCAAATAGCTGAAAATCATGTTTAAATTTTCTATTTACTTATTGATGAATATAAAAATTTTGAAAAATAAATGTGCCAATTCATAGATAGCATCAAAATAAACTTAATCAAGGAAAATAAAAAAAAATGTTCTATTTAGTTTTTTGTTTATTATGTTGATTATCATCGAACTCCTATGCATTTTAAATATTATATACTTCACTGTTTTTTCTTTCGAAATAATTTTTGATAGGAATATCATAAAGACCTGCGGTTTTCATTATTTTGATAGGCAAGACTCGAGATCATCGATATATAACAAAATGTGATTGCTCGAAAGTTGGATAATTACGTGAGTTCTTGGTAGAAATTCTCGAAAACATTATTCTGAAGCTTTTCTCCATTCGATTTGAACTTGAAATATGACTAATCGAGAGAGAAAATTTTTCTCTTTCGAGAGCTACAAAACTTCTTCTGAGATCCCTAATGCCAATCGATTGATCTATGATTAATAGGAAAACTCATCGTGCTAAGTCTAATGATGATATTTGGTGTTAAGTTCGAACTAATCTGACTCTGTAATACTAATATTTGTACAATTACACAGTTAGTCTACATGTAACAGACGAATCAACATTTCAGAAATACTGAGATAACAGTATTAGAGTAGTTCAAACCTAAAAATAACTGTCATCATTGAACTCAGTATAATGAATTACACCTGCATAGCTACTTTTATTTCAGTGATCACAGATCTATTGGCTGAAATTAGGAGTCTCGAAGAAAATCGCTTCAAAATATCGTTTTAAATGGCTCATTCTTGATTGCGGATACTTTCAATTACTAATTAATGGAAACTGTCCGCAAAATAAAATGGGGGGGAGAGACCAAAATGTCCGCACATTGGAAAGTGTCCGCAAAGCGGAATCGGGGGAGAGAGGCAAAAATGACCGCATTATAGAATCAAGACAAATTTTATTAACTGAGAAAAAAAATATAGAAAAATTTCATTACTGAAAGACAATGAATATCTAATTTTGTTTAGGTTCATAATCAAGATCATCCTTGTCATATNTATACATTGATGAGATTGACAATATCGTTATTGAAAATTCTATAGTGTAGAGATAACTTTCATAGAGGAGCACTGTTTCCTTTTATAGAGAGGAGTTTTTCCATTTGAGAGGTTTATTTTGAGGAGTATCCACGGAAAAAGTTGTTTAGAAAAACCGCTTGAAACCGCGGTTTTGCTAGAGGAAACCGCGGTGTCGATGGAGTAACCGCGGTTGAGAGCGTTTTTTCGGAACCGCGGTTCTCGGAAACCGCGTTGCGCTTATTCTTTACCACGGTTCTGAATATCGCGGTATTAAACGGTCTTAAAATCTGCGGTATCGCAATTGAAAGCTGCGGTATTTAATACCACGGTATTCAACGGTTTCTTAAACCGCGGTGTAGTCATCAGCAACCGCGGTGGTGAATCCCGCGGTATTCAACGGTTTTTTAAACCACGGTGTAGTCATTACTAACCGCGATGGTAAATACCGCGGTATTCAACGAACTTGAAGCCTGCGATATGGTAATTGAAAACCGCGGTATTTAATACCACGATATTCAACGGTTTCTTAAACCGCGGTGAAGTCATTAGTAACCGCGGTGGTGAGTCCCGCGGTATTCAACGGTTTTTTAAACCGCGGTGTAGTCATCACTAACCGCGATGCTGTCGAATAACCGCGTTATTTGTTACCGAGGTTTTTCTGCTGGAAACCGCGGTGTATCTGGCGCTTATAACATCGTGATGGAATGTGTAAGGACTAAGAGGGCGTCGTGCCTTGCAATTTTCATGAAGTTTTCGAATAAGTTTTTTTATTCTATCTCTCACTGCAAAGTAACTTTGTGGTAATGGAACTTCTAAAAGTTCACTACAGTGTCCCTCGAAGGGTTCTTCACGTGAGTCTCGTCATACCTGAGTCAGGTGTGGCCATGGAAACCGCGGTATATCGCGGTTCAACAAACCGCGATTTTAAGCGGTTTCAGAAAACCGCGAAAGTCAAACCTTTTATTCGGTTTTTCAAAACCGCTATAAACCGGCATGTTTTCGGATCGCAGTAATTAACGGTCTTTCGAAACCGCGAAAGTCAGACCTTTTATGCGATTTTCAATACCGGTGAAAAGCGCGGTGCGAAATTACCGCGGTTTGAGGCGGTTTTGAAAAACCGGATAAAAGGTTTGACTTTCGCGGTTTCAAAAAACCGCTGATTACCGTGATTTGTGAAACCGCGGTTTTTCGCGGTTTTCGGTCAAAAATTTTTCCGTGGGTAGTGTGCAGTGAATATTGAGATTGAGAAATGAAATATATTTTCAATGTCATCAATGCATGTTTTTTTTATTGTGATCCCATAATTAAAAACATTGGATCTGTGTTATCGTTGGCATATATTATGTTGAAATTCATTAACTGTGTGACAATTCTAATTATTCTTCGTTCACTTTAGCTCTATCATGATCACTTTTGATTAATATTTTTTATTGATCCATTTTCCTAATTAAAGTCATATGCCTTAGAATAGTCAATCGTTTATCGTTATCGTATATCATCTTTCAGAATTTTTAATTTTTTTAATTTTATTGCAATTGGTCATTAAAAAAAAAAAGAATTAATTGAGAAGGATGCAACGAACAGAACGTGACAAAATGTTATGCGACGAAGTGAACGCTCACCCTTGATAGCTCTTAGTAATACTATATCATTATATAGCCTATAGGATTCTCTAGCAAACATCCAAGTATGATGGTACAAAAATAATTTGTCTCACGAGAAATAATTAAACAAATCATTTCCTCAACCTGAACTTGAGACCAAAGAAATATAATTCTGATAAAAAAGTTGAACCAAAAAAAAATAATCATTTTAAATGTAATACACATGTGTAATGTTAAGCACCCAGCTCAAATGCTGGGTAATGACTTTAATCGCCAATGGAGTTTTTAGGATTCGGAAGACTCTTTTAACAACGCCATTTGAAAAAAGTACAAATCGAGCCGTCGCTAAATTTTCGGTTAGCAGTCGAAAGGGAAGAATGCCGAAAAAAATATATTGATGTGGAAAATAGTCGAAAATTATTGTAGAAAATTGTGACTATAGAAAGGTGATGTATTGTGTACATTAATACTAAAATATGGTAGTAGAAATAAAACATAAGTCAAGAGATAAAAAATAGAAAAAAATGTCATTTTTCTCGTTTTTCAACTGTAAATGATAAATCATAAATACGTGGAATAGGTGTTCTTTCATTTATTGCTCATTTTTAAAATTTTTCACAAACTTCAATATTTTCTTTCTCTGGAGGTTGACCATACTCATCAAATATTTTAGTTAATTTACCATTGAAATCTGTAGAAATTTTCGAAGAACAACCATTAAACGTAAATTTCCAATATTTAGTAGTAGTTGTTGTTTTATTTGATTTGAAAATATATTCATTTGCTATTAGCAAAGATTTTCCTTTTTGTGAATTAACAAATGAAATAGCTGGTGATTTTGATTGAATTTCTTCTATTGAAGATGCGGCAGCTGTAGTCATAGCAGTAGGACTTTAGTTATGTAATTACTCTTTGTCGGGTTCATTCACTTTATCTAAATCAGGTATTAATCATCACTATTACTAGTGCTGAAAAATCTAGACTAGTATAAATTATAGGAAAAGAAAACATAAATTATTCGTGTTACGAGTCACCATTTACTGAAGACATCACTATTTCCTTTATTTCGAATTTTGAAATTTTTCCATGCTAAAATTTATTTTTCGACATTTTTCCTTTCGATCTTTCTATACTGCACACCGAATTTTCAACGATGTTTCCTTAAAAAGTTAAAAAAATCGATAAAGGCGTTTTTCGCCAGATTCTTGTTTTTGTATACCTTTAACTATTTAAACAAAGGCTGTAGAAAATGCGATGATTCCTTATCTTGTGCTTTTTAGAATAGCGTTGCTAAAAAATAATCTTCTACGATCTGAAAACTATTGTGTTCGGTTTTTTTAGAAACCTTACAGTAGTATAGAATGCATTAGATAGTAAGTTCTATTGATTAACAAGATCAATATTTGGCTTTCAGTTAAGTGCTTAACATTATACAAAAAAAAGGATTAAAAATATATTGTTATTCAGCTTTTTTACATCACAATAATCATGAATGAACTTCTTTTTTGAGACATTGCTTATATGAAGTGTTGCTTTCCTACTAAAAAGGATTAACTCTAATAGTTGTAAAATGCTTAATGGTACAACAAACTCAAATAACTTTTTTTTTTCGAAAAAGTGAAAGAACTGAAATAATAATATCCAGGAAAGTAGTTAGACATTCACATTTACTTAACATAATACTACTACAAAAATTCTTTTTTTCATTATAGACGAAGTCAACCACGTAATGGTTTAGATGCAATGGATGGTGATATTGTATTAATTTCAACTGAAAAACTTTCTAACGATCCAAATGCTTCAGGTCGTAGAAGTTCGAGTAATTCATCATCAATTAGTAATGATACAATGCAAACTTTGTCGGATGAATCATTTAATCGAGATAGAAGAAATACTTCAGCTGCTATAGCTACTGCAGGAGGAAATTTATTGTCGAGTTTTAAACGTATATTTGGTGCAGGAGGAACAAGTCCAACAAGTGATAGACTCTATCGAACATCAGCATTATATGTATCAAGTTCTATTCCAACACATGAACTTTATCATTGGGTAAGAAAACAAAATCAAAGATTTTTTTTGTTTTTGTTTTATTCATTTATGGATGATCTTATTAATTTTTTGGTCATACCATACTTGTAATCTGATAGAACAGGAAATTTCATTCGACTATAACTCGTTCTGAATTATAATAAAAATCTTGAATAGAACAAAATTTTGAAAAGATATTCTATTATCACTTAGATAACTTACACAATATTTACTTCATTATGGTAAACATGAAATTTATCGTGTTAATATTTTCTACTAAAGATCATTGCATGCATTCAGCTATTTATATCTGATTATGAACGATAAGTCAACTTGCACATTCTCGACAATTCTCAGAACAGATGAAAATAGTTGTTTCCTGTGAGAAACCACAATTTTTAATTGTACTTGTTTTCATGTACCAAAATATCTCATGGGTCATTAAACTTAGCAAGTCTATTGATTAAGCACGATTTTCTATTTTTATTTCCGCACTCGTTTAGAACAATGTTGAAAAAAAAGTAACAACATTTCAAAAAAAAAATAAAAGTTCAGACCTAGATAATCGTAAAAATTATTGAAATCTATCGATGATCGTATATAGACAGGAGTTTATCAAATACGAAAAAAAAAAATTAGAAATTAAAAAAAAATTTTTTCGTTGTTTTAGGATTGTACTGAACTAGAAGTATATACTCTTTTATTTCAACCATCAGGGTCACTCTTAGCTACAGGATGTAGTGATAAAATGGTTCATTTATGGGAACTTCCATCCCTAGGTCAACCATATAAATATTGTTCACTTTATGGTAGTCATGGAGCAATCAATGCACTTGATTTTGACAATGAAGGAGTAAATAAATTATAAATGTTTTTTTTTTTTTTTTTCATATTTTCTATTTTAATAAATAACAGGCTCGTCTATTGGCTGGTTGTTCAGGTGACAAAGCATATATTTGGTCATATAGTGATCATCGAACACTTAGAGATACATTTACTGGTCATAAAGGTCTTATATATACTTGTAAATTTATTTCGGGAACAAAATTAGTAACAGGTAGTGCTGATCGATTAATTAGAATATGGGATTTACAAAGTCGACAATGTAAAAATTTATTTCGAAAACAAAAAAAATTTGAATATTATTTTTTTATTTATTTGTTCTAAGGTACACGAACTTTATTTGCTGGATCAAAATGTCATGATTTAGTTGTCATAGATGCAGCTGGTACAATTATAAGTGGACATTTTGATAGAAAAATTCGTATATGGGATGCATTTACTGATAAATGTCGAACTGAACTACAATATGATTCATTAATTACATCATTATCTTACAATGCTGGTATGAAAAACAAAATGTTTTCTTTAAGAAAAAAATTTGATTAATTGTTTTGTTTTTCTTTCTTTTTTCACATAGAAAAACATCAATTATTAGCATGTTTTCGAGATGATACACTTAAATTAATTGATTTAAGACAACAGAATGTTCTATATTCATTTAGTCATGATGATTTTCAAGTGAGTACAGATACAAATAAAGCTACATTATCACCCGATGGTCATTATGCATGTGCTGGTTCTCAAGATGGATCTTTATTTATATGGAATACGACAAATGGAGTTTGTGAAAGAGTCTTAAATAAAAAACATTCGTATGAAATAACTAAATAAATAAATAGATAATTGATTTTATATTTTGTTTTATTTTTAGAACGATGGTTACGGCCGTAGCATGGCATCCTGAAGGAAAATATGTTGCATCTTCTGAAAAACATCGACGAGTAATTCTTTGGACTGATTAAATATTTCCATAATTGTTCTTATATAAAAAAAAAAATTAAAATATTGTTGTGATAGTAGGAAAAAAGATGACTGAAGTCATAACATGTATACTATATATATATATATACATATTAATAAGATAGTCTAGGGTTCGATTCGACCTATCCGTTGCTGTAAATTCTGTAATATAGGTCAATCATATATTTCGAAAGATTATCCTCTATCATTTTTATTTTTCTTCAAAATTATCAAAAATATTTGTGTTTAGAAATGTAAGTTGATGCATTAATCAGTGACAATGAGTGAAAGTTTTCGATGGTTTTATTTTTGAGAATGTTTTTAATTCCTTGAAAATTTGAATCGACAAAGAAAGAAAATATTAGCAGAGAATTTAATGATAAAAAAAATTAGACAAGATCATCCATGAAAACTAATTCTGAATGTCGAAAATTTTCAAAAATTTAGAATCTATTTTTGTCCGGACGTGAGCCATTGAAGTGCGATGGCGACTGAGTCGATTGGCTTATATTTTTATTTTTGTTAGTTCTGGAGAAAAATACGATTAATTTTCCAAAAGATAAGAGAAAATATATGATTGATCTGTATTATAGTATTGATAGAAATTAAAAGTCAAATCGCACTTTAGATATTAGCCTTTTATTTTGACGATTTCATACTAATCTTGATATGATTGATTTATTATAAAATAAAATTTTATTTTTATTGTAATTTATTTGAAAATGCATTTAAATAAAAATTCGTATTCTTTTCAGAAAAAAAAAAAACAAGATCTTTTTTCTGCTTATTTTTATTTTAGCATGAAAAGAAATTATTAAAGTTTCAAAGAAACTATAGACAAAACTTTAGTTTTTCTAATTGTTAACACGTATAGAACTTTATTATTAATTACAAGGTGTTAATATTACTCTCTTGAAAAAAAAAAATATATATATATTATTTTTATGTATTGAGATAAAAACTGATGATATAAATATCATGATCATTTATAGAAATTCTATTTTTGTAAAACATAATTACGTTCTATATTGAGAATGTTAGATTGCCTTTTGTTTTGCCTCATGAAATGGAAATAAAGATTAATATGCGTCTCTTTCATCATCTTTCCATATATATATATATTGCAAAAAATTATAATTATCACCTTACGTGACAAACACAAATTGTCAGTGAATATAATTCACAGACCAAATGACGTGCGTTTATTGCTTGTCATTTATAATATAAGCAGCTGCATTGTGTTTGACATTTTTATTCCATAGGGATTAATTTAATGTGTTGTGCTTTTACTTTTCATATTAATTTTTTTGTATTTCATATGCATTGTAGACACATTGGGTAATAACTAATGAAAATTTACTATTTCAAGTTTATTGAAATATGTTAATATGGTATTCATCTTTTCCTTTTTTTGTTTTTGTTTTTATATAGAGTAGAATGAATATTATTGATTGAAATATATAATAATTTGAATAATATAAACAAGTTGATATTATAAGTCTTTCTATTTATGAAACATCTTTCCATAAGACAACTTAATTAGAATAAAAATGCTGTCAAAAGTATAGAAAAACAATTTTGACATCTTCACAAATTGCTAATGTCATGTTTCATATATAACATCAACATCTATTATTATCTTGTCTTCATGAGATAAAAATATGAAACATAACAAAGTTGCTTTAATTTTTTAACATAGTATATTTTGAAAAGTTATTTTGCGTTTCATATTTTATTTGAGATAAAGCATTATACAGATTTATTTGAAGCTATGAGTTAGTAGAACTATTTATTCATAGGATCAGTATTGAATCTATATGTTAAATCAACGATATATTCTTCCTTTTAGTTGATAAGAATCTGTTTGAAAATAGTAGTCGTTTGTTGTCTATCATTATCATTTTCTAACGAGGGAAGTCCGCTAAATGATTAATTGCTTTTGAATCAGAACAATATGCATCATATAGGCTTTAATGACTTATTAATATCCGAAAAAAAAAGTTTGCGTTGTTACTTTATTGCTGCATTTTTATGGCAATTTTTTTTTCAATTACATTCATTGTTCTCGTCAGAAAAAAGTTAATTCTTAAACAGAATAGTTGATTTTGAAAATTTTAAGTCTTTTGACGTTGCTTGTATCCTAAAATAAAAGCATCGAATCTATCAGTGAACATAAATGATATGGAAGACACGCTTTCACCAAAGCCATATTTGATGATAGAAATAATGAAAAGGTTTGAAACTTTTACAATAGACTATTTTGTTCAAAGTCTACCGCTAAGGAAAATTTAAAGTTGAAACAAAAAAGAAATAGCATTTCCGTTATGCCTGACGGTCAACACGACATTATACTGATAAATACTATACAAGTGCAGTATTTCGGCAGTTATAAGCTTACAGTAGAAACTATTTTAAAGGTATTTATAACTCATAAGAATCGACATGATGTCCATTGTATTGATTCAAAAGAAATTAATCAGTTAGCAGACTTTCTTCGTAAATTCAATCGTTGGAATTATTTATCTTCTTACATTTCTATACTATAAGATTGTCTGATTAAGCAGTAAATTGTTATTGAGAAATTTTTTTTTTTTTCTATATGCAATTTCATTCTTTTTTTTTTTTTCGTATAAAATAAAAGTTGCAAAGCAGAACAAAAAAAGACACACAAATATGAGAAGACAAAATGCTATGAATTGCGTAAAAAGCACACACACACAAAAACAAATGAAAACACAAAAATAAAGTCATTCATTATATGTTTTTTTTATATTCATTAAATATAAACCGGTTCTGAGCATTCTATATGTTCACCGTCATCTATCATTAGAAAACTCGTCTTTTTTTTTATTTTGTAAATTTATTTGTCTAGATGTGTATCACAGTGTATCACACGGCTGCCTTAGCATTGCCGCTATTTCTTGTAGTTGTTGCTATATGTGATGGTGCCGGTATTTGTAAATGTTGGTCTCCATATAAATTTTCTAAATATTCTTGTCGTCGAATTTTTTCATTTAAACCTTTACAACGACAATAAATTATTTCACGAAATGGTGTACGAAATTCTCGATTAAATTTGGAATAAATTAATGGATTTAACATTGATGATGAATAACCAAACCATAATAAAACAGAATCAACCCAAATAGGTACATTTAATCGTTTTGGTGTACCAGTTAAACCTGTTATATGTTCATGTAAAGGTTTTATTATTGCAAATAACATAAATGGAAGCCAACAAACAATAAATGTTCCTAATATAACACCAAGTGTACGTATCGCTTTTTGATTTGGTAAATGAACATGACGAAATATTGAATAACGACGTGCAACAAATACTGATAAACGACCATTAATTGTTGTACTTATACGACGACCTAAACACCGTGTTGGAGATAAAAGAGTTGAAGATTTTGATCTTTGTGGTGGACTATTTTCTGAACGTTTTAATATTCGACCTCCACCTGTTGCTAATGTATTATCATCATTAGTATTTGCATTAGATACACTTAAAAATAATTGTGGATTTGAACAACTATTTCCATTTAATTGTTGATCTAATATTTCTGATGTATGTCCAACATTTGCTGTTGAACCATGATTTGTTAAAAATTGAGACATTTGAACACTAGATCGAGGATCCATTGCTGTTCGTGCTGTTCGATAGATATTAGCATAGATAATTAGTACAATTATAAGGGGAATGTAAAATGAAAGCATCGTTGCAAATATTTGATAGGCTAATGTTGGATTTACTTGACATATAGGCAGATTTTCGGATGGACCTTAAAATGAAATGATTTATTTTTAGAAGAATGTTTTCGTATAAGGTAGAGAAAAAAAAAGAATTTCATCGAATTATACTACTAAAATGTGATTTTATATACAAAGTTATTTCTTCATTTTCAGAATCTTAATAAAGTCATATTCGAAACTAAAAATGAATGTTCCTTAGAAAAGAATAAGAAAATCTTATATCTTCTGTTATATATCTTGCATAAGTATAAATACATGATACAAAAAAAAAAATACGATAGTTTATCGTCAGTCGAAATTAATAACAAAACTAAAAGTATTGTTCATGTCACTTTCCATATCAACACATAGAAAATTCAATTTATCAATTCGAATAGTACTGAAGTGATCGTATATTAGAGCCCGTTGGGTTGGGTTCGAACTCGGGTCTGAACAAATTTTCGATCTGACAAACTCTACCTCCCTATCGTCCAAACTCTTAATATATTCAAGGATAAATAGGACTTGTAAAAAGTTTTCTTGATTGATTTCATATCAATGAATGGATTGTTGATTAGAGCTCCTCCCCTATTAAAAAAAGATCAATCTTCATCAAAAAAATGGAAATTAAGATGAATGCATGAGTTCCATTCATTCGGGAACAATATGGTTTTTAAATAGAAACCCGGTGTTTTGGTAAAATTTTTGATAATTTCCGGCGTCTTCTGTTTGAAAAATATGCATTTTCTTTTTCAGAAAAAAAAAAAAAAAAAACAGGAAACCTTTTTCACTCTTTCTACATTTATGCTTTTTTAATCGTACAACTCAGAATTTATTGTAGACTTTTATTCTATATAATTTAATATTTTTTTTCTTTGAAAAAATATGTCAAGATGTAGAGCATGACAAAGTCTTTTTTTTTTGAATTAACAATTGTTACTATTATGTAAATGAGTACTAATATAATTAGTGCGCCATTTTGTAAAGCTTTTTAAGATATTAAACTTGTTCATCTTTTTCTTCTCTCCAAAAAAAGTAAGAATTTAAAAATAAAATAGGCTATGTCATGTCTTACATTCTGATATGTTCTTTCAAGGCAAAACAAAAATTAAGCATCTAGAATAAAGGTCTACAGAGGAATTTCGAATTGCCAAATGAACTATTTTTGATATTTGTTTGTTGAATATTATGGTATACGACTGAAAATTCTACCGTAGTCTCTCATTATTCGTTCATAAGTAAAAGAAAATGATCATTTTTCTCTATG